CTGTCTCCCTACTGTCTCCCGTGACTCTCTCCCTACTGTCTCCCTACTGTCTCCCCGTGACTCTCTCCCTACTGTCTCCCTACTGTCTCCCTACTGTCTCCCTACTGTCTCCCGTGACTCTCTCCCTACTGTCTCCCTACTGTCTCCCTACTGTCTCCCTACTGTCTCCCGTGACTCTCTCCCTACTGTCTCCCTACTGTCTCCCTACTGTCTCCCGTGACTCTCTCCCTACTGTCTCCCTACTGTCTCCCTACTGTCTCCCTACTGTCTCCCGTGACGTCTCCCTACTGTCTCCCTACTGTCTCCCTACTGTCTCCCTACTGTCTCCCTACTGTCTCCCGTGACTCTCTCCCTACTGTCTCCCTACTGTCTCCCGTGACTCTCTCCCTACTGTCTCCCTACTGTCTCCCTACTGTCTCCCGTGACTCTCTCCCTACTGTCTCCCTACTGTCTCCCTACTGTCTCCCGTGACTCTCTCCCTACTGTCTCCCTACTGTCTCCCTACTGTCTCCCTACTGTCTCCCTACTGTCTCCCGTGACTCTCTCCCTACTGTCTCCCTACTGTCTCCCTACTGTCTCCCTACTGTCTCCCGTGACTCTCTCCCTACTGTCTCCCTACTGTCTCCCTACTGTCTCCCGTGACTCTCTCCCTACTGTCTCCCGTGACTCTCCCTACTGTCTCCCTACTGTCTCCCTACTGTCTCCCGTGACTCTCTCCCTACTGTCTCCCTACTGTCTCCCTACTGTCTCCCTACTGTCTCCCGTGACTCTCTCCCTACTGTCTCCCTACTGTCTCCCTACTGTCTCCCGTGACTCTTTCCCTACTGTGTCCCGTGACTCTCTCCCTACTGTGTCCCGTGACTCTCCCTACTGTCTCCCTACTGTCTCCCTACTGTCTCCCGTGACTCTCCCTACTGTCTCCCTACTCTCTCCCTACTGTCTCCCTACTGTCTCCCTACTGTCTCCCGTGACTCTCTCCCTACTGTCTCCCTACTGTCTCCCGTGACTCTCCCTACTCTCTCCCTACTGTCTCCCTACTGTCTCCCTACTCTCTCCCTACTGTCTCCCTACTGTCTCCCTACTCTCTCCCTACTGTCTCCCTACTGTCTCCCGTGACTCTCTCCCTACTGTCTCCCGTGACTCTCTCCCTACTGTCTCCCTACTGTCTCCCGTGACTCTCCCTACTGTCTCCCGTGACTCTCTCCCTACTGTCTCCCTACTGTCTCCCTACTGTCTCCCTACTGTCTCCCGTGACTCTCTCCCTACTGTCTCCCTACTGTCTCCTGTGACTCTCCCTACTGTCTCCCTACTGTCTCCCTACTGTCTCCCTACTGTCTCCCTACTGTCTCCCGTGACTCTCCCTACTGTCTCCCTACTGTCTCCCTACTGTCTCCCGTGACTCTCTCCCTACTGTCTCCCTACTGTCTCCCTACTGTCTCCCGTGACTCTCTCCCTACTGTCTCCCTACTGTCTCCCTACTGTCTCCCTACTGTCTCCCTATTGTCTCCCGTGACTCTCTCCCTACTGTCTCCCTACTCTCTCCCTACTGTCTCCCTACTGTCTCCCGTGACTCTCTCCCTACTGTCTCCCGTGACTCTCTCCCTACTGTGTCCCGTGACTCTCTCCCTACTGTCTCCCTACTGTCTCCCGTGACTCTCCCTACTGTCTCCCTACTGTCTCCCGTGACTCTCTCCCTACTGTCTCCCTACTGTCTCCCTACTGTCTCCCGTGACTCTCTCCCTACTGTCTCCCTACTGTCTCCTGTGACTCTCCCTACTGTCTCCCTACTGTCTCCCTACTGTCTCCCGTGACTCTCCCTACTGTCTCCCTACTGTCTCCCTACTGTCTCCCTATTGTCTCCCTACTGTCTCCCGTGACTCTCTCCCTACTGTCTCCCTACTGTCTCCCTACTGTCTCCCGTGACTCTCTCCCTACTGTCTCCCTACTGTCTCCCTACTGTCTCCCGTGACTCTCTCCCTACTGTCTCCCTACTGTCTCCCTACTGTCTCCCGTGACTCTCCCTACTGTCTCCCTACTGTCTCCCTACTGTCTCCCGTGACTCTCCCTACTGTCTCCCTACTGTCTCCCTACTGTCTCCCGTGACTCTCCCTACTGTCTCCCTACTGTCTCCCTACTGTCTCCCGTGACTCTCCCTACTGTCTCCCTACTGTCTCCCGTGACTCTCCCTACTGTCTCCCTACTGTCTCCCTACTGTCTCCCTACTGTCTCCCGTGACTCTCTCCCTACTGTCTCCCTACTGTCTCCCTACTGTCTCCCGTGATTCTCTCCCTACTGTCTCCCTACTGTCTCCCTACTGTCTCCCGTGACTCTCTCCCTACTGTCTCCCTACTGTCTCCCTACTGTCTCCCGTGACTCTCTCCCTACTGTCTCCCTACTGTCTCCCTACTGTCTCCCGTGATTCTCTCCCTACTGTCTCCCTACTGTCTCCCTACTGTCTCCCGTGACTCTCTCCCTACTGTCTCCCTACTGTCTCCCTACTGTCTCCCTACTCTCTCCCTACTGTCTCCCGTGATTCTCTCCCTACTGTCTCCCTACTGTCTCCCTACTGTCTCCCGTGACTCTTTCCCTACTGTCTCCCTACTGTCTCCCGTGACTCTCTCCCTACTGTCTCCCTACTGTCTCCCTACTGTCTCCCGTGACTCTCCCTACTGTCTCCCTACTGTCTCCATACTGTCTCCCGTGACTCTCCCTACTGTCTCCCTACTGTCTCCCTACTGTCTCCCGTGACTCTCTCCCTACTGTCTCCCTACTGTCTCCCTACTGTCTCCCGTGACTCTCTCCCTACTGTCTCCCTACTGTCTCGCTACTGTCTCCCGTGATTCTCTCCCTACTGTCTCCCTACTGTCTCCCTACTGTCTCCCGTGACTCTCTCCCTACTGTCTCCCTACTGTCTCCCGTGATTCTCTCCCTACTGTCTCCCTACTGTCTCCCTACTGTCTCCCGTGATTCTCTCCCTACTGTCTCCCTACTGTCTCCATACTGTCTCCCGTGACTCTCTCCCTACTGTCTCCCTACTGTCTCCCTACTGTCTCCCGTGACTCTCTCCCTACTGTCTCCCTACTGTATCCCTACTGTCTCCCGTGACTCTCTCCCTACTGTCTCCCTACTGTCTCCCTACTGTCTCCCGTGACTCTCTCCCTACTGTCTCCCTACTGTCTCCCTACTGTCTCCCTACTGTCTCCCGTGACTCTCTCCCTACTGTCTCCCTACTGTCTCCCGTGACTCTCTCCCTACTGTCGCCTCTCCCTGTGAACATTCTTTCAGTCTTCGTGCTGCCCTCCCTATCCCCACGTGTCTCCACATTGCTCCACGTGTCTCCACATTGCTCCACGTGTCTCCACATTGCTCCACGTGTCTCCACGTGTCCCCACGTGTCTCCACATTGCCCCACGTGTCCCCACGTGTCTCCACATTGCCCCACGTGTCCCCACGTGTCTCCACATTGCCCCACGTGTCTCCACATTGCCCCACGTGTCCCCACGTGTCTCCACATTGCCCCACGTGTCTCCACATTACCCCGCGTGTCCCCACGTGTCTCCACGTGTCTCCACGTGTCTCCACATTGCCCCACGTGTCCCCACGTGTCCCCACGTGTCTCCACATTGCCCCACGTGTCCCCACGTGTCTCCACATTGCCCCACGTGTCCCCACATTGCCCCACGTGTCCCCACGTGTCTCCACATTGCCCCACGTGTCCCCACGTGTCTCCACATTGCCCATCGTGTCTCCACGTGTCTCCACGTGTCTCCACATTGCCCCACGTGTCTCCACATTGCCCCACGTGTCTCCACATTGCCCATCGTGTCCCCACGTGTCTCCACATTGCCCCACGTGTCCCCACGTGTCTCCACATTGCCCATCGTGTCTCCACGTGTCTCCACGTGTCTCCACGTGTCTCCACATTGCCCCACGTGTCCCCACGTGTCCCCACGTGTCTCCACATTGCCCCACGTGTCCCCACGTGTCTCCACATTGCCCCACGTGTCCCCACATTGCCCCACGTGTCCCCACGTGTCTCCACATTGCCCCACGTGTCCCCACGTGTCTCCACATTTCCCATCGTGTCTCCACGTGTCTCCACGTGTCTCCACATTGCCCCACGTGTCTCCACATTGCCCCACGTGTCTCCACATTGCCCATCGTGTCCCCACGTGTCTCCACATTGCCCCACGTGTCCCCACGTGTCTCCACATTTCCCATCGTGTCTCCACGTGTCTCCACGTGTCTCCACATTGCCCCACGTGTCTCCACATTGCCCATCGTGTCCCTGTGTCCCCCCCACGCCCTGCTGTTGTAACGAGGTGGCGGTAAAGAGGTGGCAGCAACGAGGTTGCGGTAACGAGGGGGTAGTAACGAGGTGGTAGTAACGAGGTGGTAGTAATGAGGGGGTAGTAAAGGAGGTGGCGGTAACGAGGTGGCGGTAACGAGGTGGCGGTAACGAGGTGGTGGTGGTGGTAACGAGGTGTTGGTTGTGGTAACGAGGTGGTGGTGGTGTTAACGAGGTGTTGGTGGTGTTAACGAGGTGGTGTTGGTGTTAACGAGGTGGTGTTGGTGTTAACGAGGTGGTGGTGGTGTTAACGAGGTGTTGGTGGTGTTAACGAGGTGGTGGTGTTAACGAGATGTTGGTGATAACGAGGTGGTGGTGGTGTTAACGAGGTGGTGGTGGTGTTAACGAGGTGTTGGTGTTAACGAGGTGGTATTGGTGTTAACGAGGTGGTGGTGTTAACGAGGTGTTGGTGTTAACGAGGTGGTGGTGGTGTTAACGAGGTGGTGGTGGTGTTAACGAAGTGTTGGTGTTAACGAGGTGGTATTGGTGTTAACGAGGTGTTGGTGTTAACGAGGTGTTGGTGTTAACGAGGTGGTATTGGTGTTAACGAGGTGTTGGTGTTAACGAGGTGTTGGTGTTAACGAGGTGGTGGTGGTGTTGGTGTTAACGAGGTGGTGGTGTTAACGAGGTGTTGGTGTTAACGGCCTTGCAGGGTGAGCAGAGCCTGGAGCCTGGCCAGCAAGCCCAGCAGCCGGGCCGGGGACAGGTACACAGCCCCCTCCTCAACCCCACGTGACCCCCCCTCCCCCGTGACCCCCCACGTGACCCCCCCTCGTGACCCCCTCGTGACCCCCCCTCGTGACCCCCCCCGTGACCCCCCACGTGACCCCCCCCCGTGACCCCACCCCTCCCCCGCGGGACCCCAGCAGCCTCAACCCAACCCCCTAACGGAGCGACGTGAACGGTAACTCAGCGCTCCATGCTTCACGCAGTAACTAACAGCGGTGTGTACAGGTGTGTGTGTGTACAGGTGTGTGTGTGTGTACAGGTGTGTGTGTGTACAGGTGTGTGTACAGGTGTGTGTGTGTGTACAGGTGTGTGTGTGTGTACAGGTGTGTGTGTACAGGTGTGTGTGTACAGGTGTGTGTGTGTACAGGTGTGTGTGTGTGTACAGGTGTGTGTGTGTACAGGTGTGTGTACAGGTGTGTGTACAGGTGTGTGTACAGGTGTGTGTGTGTACAGGTGTGTGTACAGGTGTGTACAGGTGTGTGTGTGTGTACATGTGTGTGTGTGTACAGGTGTGTGTACAGGTGTGTGTGTACAGGTGTGTGTACAGGTGTGTGTGTGTACAGGTGTGTGTGTGTACAGGTGTGTGTGTACATGTGTGTGTGTGTACAGGTGTGTGTGTGTACAGGTGTGTGTGTGTGTACAGGTGTGTGTGTGTGTACAGGTGTGTGTGCAGGTGTGTGTGTACAGGTGTGTGTGTGTACAGGTGTGTGTACATGTGTATGTGTGTGTACAGGTGTGTGTGTGTACAGGTGTGTGTGTGTGTGTACAGGTGTATGTGTGCAGGTGTGTGTGTGTGTGTGTACATGTGTGTGTACAGGTGTGTGTGTGTGTGTACAGGTGTGTATGTGTGCAGGTGTGTGTGTGTACAGGTGTGTGTGTGTGTACAGGTGTGTGTGTGTGTACAGGTGTGTGTGTGTGTGTACAGGTGTGTGTGTACAGGTGTGTGTGTACAGGTGTGTGTGTGTGTACATGTGTGTGTGTGCAGGTGTGTGTGTGTGTGTACAGGTGTGTGTGCAGGTGTGTGTGTACAGGTGTGTGTGTGTACAGGTGTGTGCAGGTGTGTGTGTGTACAGGTGTGTGTGTGTGTGTGTGTACAGGTGTGTGTACAGGTGTGTGTGTGTGTGTACAGGTGTGTGTGTGTGTACATGTGTGTGTGTGTGTACAGGTGTGTGTGTGTGCAGGTGTGTGTGTGTGTACAGGTGTGTGTGTGTACAGGCGTGTGTGTGTGTACAGGTGTGTGTGTGTGTACAGGTGTGTGTGTACAGGTGTGTGTGTGTGTACAGGTGTGTGTGTGTACAGGTGTGTGTACAGGTGTGTGTGTACAGGTGTGTGTACAGGTGTGTGTGTGTACAGGTGTGTGTGTACAGGTGTGTGCACAGGTGTGTGCACAGGTGTGTGTACAGGTGTGTGTGTGTACAGGTGTGTGTACAGGTGTGTGTGTGTACAGGTGTGTGTGTGTACAGGTGTGTGTTTGTACAGGTGTGTGTACAGGTGTGTGTGTGTGTACAGGTGTGTGTGTACAGGTGTGTGTGTGTACAGGTGTGTGTGTACAGGTGTGTGTACAGGTGTGTGTATAGGTGTGTGTGTGTACAGGTGTGTGTACAGGTGTGTGTACAGGTGTGTGTGTGTACAGATGTCTACAGGTGTGTTAGTGTGTACAGGTGTGTGTGTACAGGTGTGTGTGTGTACAGGTTTGTGCGTACAGGTGTGTGTACAGGTGTGTGTGTACAGGTGTGTGTGTGTACAGGTGTGTGTACAGGTGTGTGTGTACAGGTGTGTGTGTACAGGTGTGTGTACAGGTGTGTGTGTGTGTGTACAGGTGTGTGTACAGGTGTGTGTGTGTGTGTGCAGGTGTGTGTACAGGTGTGTGTGTGTGTACAGGTGTGTGTGTACAGGTGTGTGTGTACAGGTGTGTGTACAGGTGTGTGTGTACAGGTGTGTGTGTACAGGTGTGTGTGTGTGTGCAGGTGTGTCAGGTAACGCTTTGCTTCAAACGCTGTTAACCAAACCCCCCCTCCCCCTCTTCCCACCCCCCTCCCCCCATCCCCCCTCCCCTTTGCTTCTCCTCCCCACCATCCACCTCCCCACACCTTGATGCAACCCAATCGCTTCCCTCCTGGCGATGATGATGATGATGATGGCGATGATGATGGCGATGATGATGGCGATCACGACGACGACCATCATCCTTGTCATCCCCCCCACCACCAACCGCCACCGCCCCCTTTACCCCGATCATCATCACCGCTCCGCTAACCCCACCACCACCACCACCACCGCCACCACCACCGCCACCACCGCCACCACCACCACCACCACCACCGCCGCCACCACCACCACCACCACCACCACCGCCACCACCACCACCAACACCACCCCCACCACCACCACCGCCACCGCCACCACCGCCACCACCACCACCACCACCGCCACCACCGCCACCACCACCACCACCACCGCCACCACCACCGCCACCACCACCACCACCACCACCTCCACCACCTCCACCACCACCTCCACCACCACCTCCACCATCACCACCACCACCACCAACACCACCCCCACCACCACTGCCACCTCCACCACCATCACCTCCACCACCACCAACACCACCATCACCTCCACCACCACCACCACCACCGTCACCACCTCCACCACCACCACCACCGCCACTCCAGCCGCCGCGGGCGGGAGACTCGGCTCCTGACGAGGTGGGCTTGGTGGGGCTAGACGAGGAGGAAGGGGGGGCGCCCCCCACCTCCTCCTCCTCCTCGGCGGGGGGCGACGACGTGGTGGAGGCCGAGTACGACCTGTCCGAGTACGACCCCGGCGACCTCGACCCCAAGGAGTACGACCCCAAGGAGTACGACCCCGGCGACCTTGACCCCAAGGAGTACGACCTCGAGGAGCTTGACCCCGAGCCTGACCTTGGCGGCGGCGGTCATGACGGGTCCACGGAGGCCGTGGCGTTGCCGGCCGAGACGGAGGTTTGGTTTCTCCTTGGGTTGGGCCGGACGCGCGGTGGGGCTGGTGGTGGGGCTGGCGGTGGGGGGCTGGGGGGGATGGGGGGGGGGTCACTAGCCCCCACCCTCCACCACCCCCCACCCACCCCCCTGCGGTGTGGGCAGGGACTGCTCACGTGGTGTGGCCTGCTCCCTCCCCCCACACTCCTTAACGCTCGCCATTAATTCAGATCCCTACGCTTAAACCCCCCCCCCCCCCCCCCCCCCCCCCCCCCCCCCCACTAACACCCCCCCCCCCCACTAACACCCCCCCCCCCCCCGCCCTCTCACCCGAGTGGTGAGTGAGTGGGTGGGTGGGTGGGTTGGTGAGCACATGGTGGCAAGCGAGCTGGGTGTTCCGGTGAGCGGGTGAGTTGGGGAGCGGGTGAGTTGGTGAGTGGGTTGGTGAGTTGGCGAGCGGGTGAGTTGGTGAGTGGAGAGCGGGTTGGTGAGTTTGTGAGTGGGTGAGCGTGAGTTTGGTGAGCGGGTTGGTGAGTTGGTGAGCGGGTTGGTGAGCAGGTGAGCGTGTGAGTTGGTGAGCGGGTTGGTGAGTTGGCGAGCGTGTGAGTTTGGTGAGCGGGTTGGCGAGTTTGTGAGCAGGTGAGTTTGGTGAGCAGGTGAGCGGGTGTTCCGGTGAGTGGGTGAGTTGGCGGGCGGGTGAGTTGGTGAGTGGAGAGCGGGATGGTGAGTTTGTGAGTGGGTGAGCGTGTGAGTTTGGTGAGCGGGTTGGTGAGTTGGTGAGCGGGTTGGTGAGTTTGGTGAGCAGGTGAGCGTGTGAGTTTGGTGAGCGGGTTGGTGAGTTGGCGAGCGTGTGAGTTTGGTGAGCAGGTTGGCGAGTTTGTGAGCAGGTGAGTTTGGTGAGCAGGTGAGCGTGAGTTTGGTGAGTGGGTTGGTGAGTTGGCGAGCGTGTGAGTTGGTGAGTGGAGAGCGGGTTGGTGAGTTTGTGAGCAGGTGAGCGTGTGAGTTTGGTGAGCGGGTTGGTGAATTTGGTGAGCAGGTGAGTTTGGTGAGCAGGTGAGCGTGTGAGTTTGGTGAGCGGGTTGGTGAGTGGGCGAGCGTGTGAGTTAGTGAGTTTGTGAGTTAGTGAGTTTGTGAGCGTGTGAGTTGGTGAGTGTACGAGTTAGTAAGCGGGTGAGTTGCTGAGCGGGTGAGTTGGTGACCGTGTGACTTGGTGAGCATGTGAGTTGGTGAGCGTGTGAGTTGGTCAGCGGGTGAGGGAGCTTGTGAGTTTGTGATTGTGTGATTTGGTGAGCGTGTGAGTTGGTGAGCATGTGAGTTGGTGAGCGTGTGAGTTAGTGAGTTGGTGAGCGGGTGAGTTGGTGAGCGTGTGAGTTGGTGAGCGGGTGAGTTTGTGAGTTGGTGAGTGGGTGAGTTGGTGAGCGTGTGAGTTGGTGAGCGGATGAGGGAGCTTGTGAGTTGGTGAGCGTGTGAGTTGGTGAGCGTGTGAGTTGGTGAGTTGGTGAGCGGGTGAGTGAGCGTGTGATTCTGCTATTCACAGGACCGGTTCGGATTGCAAGGAGAGAAGGGGCAGAAGGGAGCACCAGCTGTGTTTGAGCCGGTACGACCCTCACCAGAACCTCACCAGAACCTCACCAGACACTCACCAGACACTCACCAGAACCTCACCAGACCCTCACCAGAACCTCACCACACACTCACCAGGACCTCACCAGACCCTCACCAGAACCTCACCAGAACCTCACCAGAGCCTCACCAGAACCTCACTCACCAGACCCTCACTCACAGACACTCACCAGATACTCACCAGACACTCACCAGACACTCACCAGACACTCACCGGACACTCACCACGTGTGTGTGTGTGTTGGTTGTCTAGGGGATGCTGCTTGAGGGACAACCTGGGAAAGAGGGCCCCACGGTGAGCAGGACACTCACCACACACTCACCACACTCACCACACTCACCACACACTCACCACACACTCACCACACACTCACCACACTCACCACACACTCACCACACACTCACCACACTCACCACACACTCACCACACACTCACCACACTCACCACATACTCACCACACTCACCACACACTCACCACACACTCACCACACACTCAACACACACTCACCACACTCACCACACACTCACCACACACTCACCACACTCACCACACACTCACCACACACTCACCACACTCACCACATACTCACCACACTCACCACACTCACCACACACTCACCACACTCACCACACACTCACCACACACTCACCACACACTCAGCACACTCACCACACACTCACCACACTCACCACACACTCACCACACACTCACACTCACCACACGCTCACCACACACTCACCACACACTCACACTCACCACACACTCACCACACACTCACCACACACTCACCACACTCACCACACACTCACCACACTCACCACACACTCACCACACTCACCACACACTCACCACACTCACCACACTCACCACACACTCACCACACTCACCACACACTCACCACACTCACCACACACTCACCACACACTCACCACACTCACCACACTCACCACACACTCACCACACACTCACCACACAATCACCACACACTCACCACACACTCACACTCACCACACTCACCACACTCACCACACCCTCACCACACACTCACCACACACTCACCACACTCACCACACTCACCACACTCACCACACACTCACCACACCACACACTCACCACACACTCACCACACACTCACCACACCACACACTCACCACACACTCACCACACACTCACACTCACCACACACTCACCACACACTCACCACACACTCACACACACCACACACTCACCACACACTCACCACACACTCACCACACACTCACCATACACTCACCACACACTCACCACACACTCACACACACCACACACTCACCACACACTCACCACACACTCACACACACTCACACTCACCACACACTCACCACACACTCACCACACACCACACACTCACCACACACTCACCATACACTCACCACACACTCACCACACACTCACACTCACCACAATCACCACACACTCACCACACTCACCACAATCACCACACACTCACCACACACTCACACTCACCACACACTCACCACACACTCACCACACACCACACACTCACCACACACCACACACTCACCACACTCACCTCACTCACCACACACTCACACTCACCACAATCACCACACACTCACCACACTCACCACAATCACCACACATTCACCACACTCACCACACTCACCACACACTCACCACACACTCACCACACACTCACCACACTCACCACACACTCACACTCACCACACACTCACCACACACTCACCACACACTCACACACACCACACACTCACCACACACTCACCACACACTCACCATACTCACCACACACTCACCACACACTCACCACACACTCACCACACACTCACACTCACCACACACTCACCACACACTCACCACACACTCACCACACCCTCACCACACACTCACCACACACTCACCACACACTCACCACACACTCACCCTCACCACACACTCACCACACACTCACCACACACTCACCACTCACTCACCACACACTCACCACTCACTCACCACACACTCACCCTCACCACACACTCACACTCACCACACACTCACCACACACTCACCACACACTCACCACACACTCACACTCACCACACACTCACCACACACTCACCACACACTCACCACACACTCACACTCACCACACACTCACCACACACTCACCACACACTCACACTCACCACACACTCACCACACACTCACACTCACCACACACTCACCACACACTCACCACACACTCACCACACACTCACACTCACCACACACTCACACTCACCACACACTCACCACACACTCACACTCACCACACACTCACCCCACACTCACCACACACTCACCACACACTCACCACACACTCACACTCACCACACACTCACCACACACTCACCACACACTCACCACACACTCACCACACACTCACACTCACCACACACTGACCACACACTCACCACACACTCACACTCACCACACACTCACACTCACCACACACTCACCACACACTCACCACACACTCACCACACACTCACACTCACCACACACTCACCACTCACTCACCACACACTCACCACACACTCACCACACACTCACCACACACCACACACTCACCACACACTCACCACACCCTCACCACACACTCAGCACACCCTCACCACACACTCACCACACACTCACCACACACTCACCACTCACCACACACTCACCACACACTCACCACACACTCACCACACCCTCACCACACACTCACCACACACTCACCACACACTCACCACTCACCAGACACTCACCACACACTCACCACACACTCACCACACACTCACACTCACCACACACTCACCACACACTCACCACACACTCACCACACACTCACCACACCTTCACCACACACTCACCACACACTCACCACACACTCACACTCACCACACACTCACCACACACTCACCACACACTCACCCTCACCACACACTCACCACACACTCACCACACACTCACCACACACTCACCACACACTCACCACACACTCACCACACACTCACCACTCACTCACCACACACTCACCCTCACCACACACTCACCCTCACCACACACTCACCACTCACTCACCACACACTCACCACACACTCACCCTCACCACACACTCACCACACACTCACCACTCACTCACCACACACTCACCACACACTCACCACACCCTCACCACACACTACACCTTCACCACACGCTCACCCTCACCACACCCCCACCACCACCACTACCACCACCCCCACCTCCACCACCCCCACCACCACTCCCACCACCACCACAACTACCACCACCACTGCTACCACAACTACCACCACAACCACCACCACAACTACCACCACCACAACACCACCACCACCCCCACAACTACCACCACCACCACAACCACCACCACAACTACCACCACCACCACAACTACCACCACCACAACTACCACCACCACCCCCACAACTACCACCACCACCACAACCACCACCACCACAACAACTACCACCACCACAACCCCCACCACCACAACTACCACCCCCACCACCACCACAACTACCACCCCCACCACCACCACCCCCACCACCACCACCACCCCCACCACCACCCCCACCACCCCCACCACCACCACCATAACTACCACCACCACTACCACCACAACAACTACCACCACAACCACCACCACAACTACCACCACCAACACCACAACTACCAACACCCCCACCACCACAACTACCACCACCACCACAACCACCACCACCACAACTACCCCCACCACCACAACTACCACCACCACAACCACCACCACAACTACCACCACCACCACAACTACCACCACCCCCACCCCCACCACCACAACTACCACCACCACAACCACCACCACCACAACTACCACCACCACCACAACAACAACAACCACTACAACAACAACAACTACCACCACCACAACAACAACTACCACCACCACAACAACAACAACTACCACCACCACAACAACAACTACCACCACCACAACAACAACTACCACCACCACAACAACTACCACCACCACCACAACAACAACTACCACCACCACAAAAACAACAACAACCACCACCACAACAACTACCACCACCACAACAACAACTACCACCACCACAACAACAACAAGAACCACCACCACCACAACAACAACACCACCACAACAACAACCACCACTACCACAACAACAACAACAACTACCACCACCACAACAACAACCACCACAACCACCACCCCACAACAACTACCACCACCACAACTACCACCACCACAACAACAACTACCACCACCACCACAACTACCACCACCACAACAACAACTACCACCACAACTACCACCACCACAACAACAACAACTACCACCACAACAACAACAACTACCACCACCACAACAACTACCACCACCACAACAACAACTACCACCACCACCACAACTACCACCACCACAACAACAACTACCACCACCACAACTACCACCACCACAACAACAACAACTACCACCACCACAACAACCACCACAACTACCACAACAACAACTACCACCACCACAACAACAACTACCACCACAACAACCACCACAACTACCACAACAACAACAACAACTACCACCACCACAACAACCACCACAACTACCACAACAACAACTACCACCACCACAACAACAACTACCACCACAACAACCACCACAACTACCACAACAACAACAACAACTACCACCACCACAACAACCACCACAACTACCACAACAACCACCACCACAACAACAACTACCACCACCACAACAACCACCACAACTACCACAACAACAACAACAACTACCACCACCACAACAACCACCACAACTACCACAACAACAACTACCACCACCACAACAACAACTACCACCACAACAACCACCACAACTACCACAACAACAACAACAACTACCACCACCACAACAACCACCACAACTACCACAACAACCACCACCACAACAACAACTACCACCACCACAACAACCACCACAACTACCACAACAACAACAACAACTACCACCACCACCGTTGTGTGCAGGGTCCCCCCGGCCCTCAAGGTCCCTTGGGCAACCCCGGACCGCGTGGAGAACCCGGAGAGAGGGTACGTGCAGCACACACGTGACACACACGTAAAACACACGTGGTGACACACACGTGGTGTCACCACGTGGTGTCACACACGTGGTGACACACACGTGGTGACACGTGACACACACGTGGTGACACACACGTGGTGACACACACGTGGTGACACACACGTGGTGACACGTGACACACACGTGGTGACACGTGACACACACGTGGTGACACACACGTGGTGACACACACGTGACACACACGTGGTGACACACACGTGGTGACACGTGACACACACGTGGTGACACGTGACACACACGTGGTGACACACACGTGGTGACACACACGTGGTGACACGTGACACTCACGTGGTGACACACACGTGGTGACACACACGTGGTGACACGTGACACACACGTGGTGACACGTGACACACACGTGGTGACACACACGTGGTGACACACACGTGGTGACACGTGACACACACGTGGTGACACACACGTGGTGACACACACGTGGTGACACGTGACACACACGTGGTGACACACACGTGGTGCCACACACGTGGTGACACACACGTGGTGACACGTGACACACACGTGGTGACACGTGACACACACGTGGTGACACACACGTGGTGACACACACGTGACACACACGTGACACACACGTGGTGACACACACGTGGTGACACGTGACACACACGTGGTGACACACACGTGGTGACACACACGTGACACACACGTGGTGACACACACGTGGTGACACACACGTGACACACACGTGGTGACACACACGTGACACACACGTGGTGACACACACGTGGTGACACACACGTGGTGACACGTGACACACACGTGGTGACACACACGTGGTGACACACACGTGACACACACGTGGTGACACACACGTGGTGACACACACGTGACACACACGTGGTGACACACACGTGACACACACGTGGTGACACACACGTGGTGCCACACACACGTGACACACACGTGGTGTCACACACGTGGTGACACGTGTCACACACGTGGTGACATACACGTGGTGTCACACACGTGACACACACGTGACACACACACGTGACACACACGTGGTGACACACACGTGGTGCCACACACGTGGTGACACACACGTGGTGTCACACACGTGGTGACACACGTGGTGACATACACGTGGTGTCACACACGTGACACACACGTGACACACACACGTGACACACACGTGGTGCCACACACGTGGTGACACACACGTGGTGACACACACGTGGTGCCACACACGTGGTGACACACACGTGGTGTCACACACGTGGTGACACACGTGGTGACACACACGTGGTGTCACACACGTGGTGACACACACACGTGACACACACGTGGTATCACACACGTGGTGCCACGCGCGTGCCACACGCATGTGTGCTGCATGCGTAACGACACGCATGCAGCACACACACGTGACGACACGCATGACGACACACACACACGTGACGACACGCGTGACGACACACACACACGTGATGACACGCGTGACGACACCCGTGACGACACACACACACGTGACGACACGCGTGACGACACACACACACGTGACGACACACACACACGTGACGACACACACACAAGTGACGACACACGTGACGACACGTTTCCCCACGGGTTACTGAGATTGTAACACGACGCGGTGGAGTTAACGTGAGCGTGGTGAGCGTTAGGGTGAGCGTTGTGGTGAGTGGTGAGTGTCGTGGTAAGCGTCGTGGTGAGCGTCGTGGTGAGTGGTCAGTGTCGTGGTGAGTGTGGTGGTGACCGACGTGGTGAGCGTCGTGGTGAGCGTCGTGGTGAGCGTCGTGGTGAGCGTTAGGGTGAGCGTTGTGGTGAGTGGTAGTGTCGTGGTGAGCGTCGTGGTGAGCGTCGTGGTGAGCGTCGTGGTGAGCGTTAGGGTGAGCGTCAGGGTGAGCGTTGTGGTGAGTGGTAGTGTCGTGGTGAGCGTCGTGGTGAGCGTCGTGGTGAGCGTTAGGGTGAGCGTTGTGGTGAGTGGTAGTGTCGTGGTGAGCGTCGTGGTGAGCGTCGTGGTGAGCGTTAGGGTGAGCGTTGTGGTGAGTGGTAGTGTCGTGGTGAGCGTCGTGGTGAGCGTCGTGGTGAGCGTTAGGGTGAGCGTTGTGGTGAGTGGTAGTGTCGTGGTGAGCGTCGTGGTGAGCGTTAGGGTGAGCGTTGTGGTGATTGGTAGTGTCGTGGTGAGCGTTGTGGTGAGCGTCGTGGTGAGTGGTGAGTGTCGTGGTGAGTGTGGTGGTGAGCAACGTGGTGAGCGTCGTGGTGAGCGTCGTGGTGAGCGTCGTGGTGAGCGTCTCGGTGAGAGTCGTGGCGAGTCACGTGGCGAGTCACGTGGCGAGTCACGTGGCGAGTCACGTGGTGAGTCACGTGGTGAGTCACGTGTCCCCGTGTCCCCCCGTGTGCAGGGTCCGCCAGGTCGTGCAGGGCTGCCTGGGGCGGATGGACTGCCTGGGCCGCCCGGCACCATGATGATGTTGCCTGTGAGGGCCGGAACACACCACCACCACCGGAACCACCACCACTACCACCACCACCACCACCGGAACCACCACCACTACCACCACCACCACCACCGGAACCACCACCACTACCACCACCACCGGCACCACCACCGGCACCACCACCACCACCACTACCACCACCACTACCACGACTACCACCACCACCACTACCACCACCACCACCGGCACCACCACCACCACTACCACCACCACTACCACCACTACCACCACCACTACCACCACTACCACCACCACCACTACCACCACTACCACCACCACCACGACTACCACTACCACCACCACTACCACCACTACCACCACCACCACGACTACCACCACCACTACCACCACCACTACCACCACCACCACGACTACCACCACCACGACTACCACTACCACCACGACTACCACCACCACTACCACGACTATCATCACAACGACCACCACCGCTACCACGACTATCACCACAACAACTATCATCACAACAACTATCACCACCACAACTATCACCACCACGACTATCACCACAACAACTTTCACCACCACAACTATCGCCACCACAACTATCACCACAACTACCACCAACACCACCACCACGACTATCATCGCAACCTTCACCACAACAACTATCACCACAACAACTATCACCACCACGACTATCACCACAACGATCGTCACAACTACCACCACGTGGTGATGACGATGATGCTGATTGGCCACGTGGTACAGCTGCTATCATTCGTGATGGCAAGGTTCATTGCTTCTGATCAAAGCGCTGCAAAGCAGCTCAATGGGACCTTATAGCTGGTAAAATAAAAACGTAGTTTAGTTCGATATATATTTTTTTAAAAACCATCGTTAGCAACCCCGCAAATCCTCCACACCAGGATCTGAAGCACCGAGGAAGATCGCCTAGCCCTCCTTCGATCGCCTCCACACTTTCTCTGACGGGTGGGAAATTTTGATTGAAAGTGTTTCGGTGACTTTCGGTAAAGTCACCACCGCGTAGATAGGGAAACAATAAAATAATAAAAAAAATACAAAACGATAAAATTCTCACGACGTTTTCAACTGCAGCACAAGCGATCATCATCATCATCAGGTGTGAAAACCAGAGAAAGAAAATTTGAAGAAAGTGGCGGTTTTTTTTAACGTTAGCACCACGGAGAGCGATTTGACAGTCGTTCAGATGGACGAGTCCATCTATGTTCGGAAAAGAGGAGGAGGAGGGGGGGAGACGAAAAATAATGGATGCGGTCTGAAAGCCACCGTAAGCGCGAACAATCAATTAAGACCCGAAATGGTTTTATCAGATCCTTCCAATGATTGCTAAGCCAGAATCCATCTTCCCGGTTGAAATTGTCTCTGTGCTTGTATATGCGGATAGCCCCAACGAACGAATCTCTCATGGTAGCCAGATGGCTTGCAAAGAACCTTTGTCTTGGGGGGGAAGAAAAACAAAACACGCCACTTCTTTCAAAATGTTTCTCGCTGTGGTTTTCACACCTGATGATGATTGTTGTTGCTTCTTCGTGCTGCGGGCGAAACGTCGTGAGAATTCTATCGTCTTATATTTTTATTGTTCTATTGTTGTCCTCTATCTGCGTGGTGGTGGTGGTGGTGACTTTACCGAAAGAACCAAGAATACGGCACGTCAAACCACGGCGGCAATTTGTGCTCGGTTGCAACGGCCAAGTCACCGCACTTGCCCCGATCGGCTTCTTGTTGGGGCTGCACGCGAGTGGAACCTTTGCCTTTGTGTGTGTGTTGCCGGTGGGGGGGAGCGGTGGTGCAGCGGTTAGCGCGCTGCGCTACGAGCCACCGGGGACCCACTCGGGTTCGATTCCCGCTCACGGACACCAACACCGTCAGTGACGATTTATCTGAACCGGTCCTGACGCTTCCCCTAGGTCGACTCGGCCTTAAATGAGTACACCTGGTGTAGCGGTGTGTAGTGAACATCGCCACTGGGGGAGACAAAGGCGGCCGGGCGTGGTTGCTGGCCACACCACCCACCTCGTGTTCCACAGTGCCGGCCTTCATAGGTGCTGCTCGCTAACAGCACTTGCCCCTACAGTCTGTTGAAGGCTACACGGGGGATCTTTGTTTTTGTGGTGTGGTGTGGTGTGGCGCGTGTGGTGTGGTGTGTGGTGTGGTGTGGCTGGTGTGGTGTGGCTGGTGTGGTGTGGCTGGTGTGGTGTGGTGTGTGTGGTGTGGTGTGGCTGGTGTGGTGTGGTGTGGCTGGTGTGGTGTGGCTGGTGTGTGTGTGTTGTGTGTGGTGTGGCTGGTGTGGTGTGGCTGGTGTGGTGTGGCTGGTGTGGTGTGGTGTGTGGTGTGGTGTGGCTGGTGTGGTGTGGTGTGGCTGGTGTGGTGTGTGTGGTGTGGTGTGGCTGGTGTGGTGTGGTGTGGCTGGTGTGGTGTGGCTGGTGTGGTGTGGCTGATGTGGTGTGGCGTGCGCGCAGTTCCGCTTCGGTGGCGCCGGGGTCGACAAGGGACCGGCCCTCTCCGCCCAGGAGGCACAGGCCCAGGCCATCCTGCAGCAGGCCCGGGTGAGTCACGTGACCCCTCCCACCCCCGCCGCGACCAATCAAATCGTGGCCGACGGTCCCCTTTGTGACGCGAGATGGAGAGGGGGGGGGGGTAAGAGGGTGGGGGGCAGTGCCGGATTAAGTTAGTGCGGGGCCTGTAGTGTGTATGTTATAAAGGGGCCCTGAATATAAAATAAAACACAAATATTTAACTTGCAGAGTAAAGCAATTGTTTTTATTTTCATTTGATATACGGCCGGATAATACGACAAATGGCTAACATTGAACACCCGGCCGTTCGTGTAAGTTCAAGAAGGCGGCCTAGTACTGTAGTGATAGAGCAAGTGCAGAATCACTGAACGGGAATTGATAGCTTGAACGTGCTACATGTGGTGTAACTACTACACCACGTGTAGTAGTTACACCACGTGGTGTAGTAGCTACACGTGTAGTGTAGTACTACACGTGGGGTGTAGCTACTACACGTGTAGCAGCTACACCCCACGTGCAGTAGCTACTACACGTGGTGTAGTAGCTACTACACGTGGTGCAGCTACTACACCACGTGTAGCTACTACACTACTACACGTGCAGCTACTACACGTGGTGCAGCTACTACACGTATAGCACTACACGTGTAGTGTAGTAGCTACACGTGTAGCTACCACTATTATCATATGATAAAATGATGCATTGTCCTCATTACTTTGATAGTGGCATTGTCTTTGAGCTGTGTGACGCCTTTTGGCGTCATCCGGACGAGCACCAATTGGGTCGAGGCTCAAAAGAAAGCCGTACCCTTGTGTGGACCAATCAGTTTCAAGGACAATGCCATCATATATTATCATAGTGTGTGTCTTTTGTTTGCATTTTGACCGCAGGTATTGGTGCTTGATGCAGTAAACATGAATCTTTGTAAAAAAAGGTTTCAGTTTTCTTGCCCGGAAAAAGGTGGAAAAACCCTATTATTGGTACGCCTTTTGGCGTCATCTGGTCCAACACCAGTGGAGGCTAGGCTCTAAGAAAAGCTGTCTCGGGTGTGGACCAATCAAATTCAAGGACAGTGCCAATATCATTATCAGAGTTGCCTCTTTTTGTTTGCATTTTGACTGCTTGTGTTGTGGTTATTGCAAACACGATGCCTTGAATAAAGGTGTCAAATTTTGCGCCAGTGAAAAGGGTAAAACCTATTCCTATATCTTGTTACTGGCAAGGGATGTCTCATAATGTAAATGCTCACCCCGAGCCCTCAATACTCTGATAGTGCGCTGTTTTTGAGTTGTACGCCTTTTGGCGTCTTCTGGTCCAGCACCAGTGGAGACTAAAGGGCTCTAAGAAAAGCCGTCTCGGGTGTGGACCAATCAAATTCAAGGACAGTGCCAATATCATTATCAGAGTTGCCTCTTTTTGTTTGCATTTTGACCGGCTTGCATTGTGGTCATTGCAAACACGATGCTTTGAATAAAGGTGTCAGTTTTTGCGCCAGTTAAAAGGGTAAAAACCTATTCCTATATCTTGTTTATGGCAAAGGAGGTCTCATAATGTTAATGCTCACCCCGAGCCCTCAATACTCTGATAGTGTGCTGTTTTTAAAGTTGTACGCCTTTTGGCGTCTTCTGGTCCAACACCAGTGGAGACTAAGGGCTCTAAGAAAAGCTGTCTCGGGTGTGGACCAATCAAATTCAAGGACAGTGCCAATATCATTATCAGAGATGTCTTTTTTGTTTGCATTTTGACCGGCTTGCATTGTGGTCATTGCAAACACGATGCCTTGAATAAAGGTGTCAGGTTTTTTGCGCCAGTGAAAAGGGTAAAAACCTATTCCTATATCTTGTTACTGGCAAAGGAGGTCTCATAATGTTAATGCTCACCCCGAGCCCTCAATACTCTGATAGTGCGCTGTTTTTGAGTTGTACGCCTTTTGGCGTCTTCTGGTCCAACACCAGTGGAGACTAGGCTATAAGAAAAGCCGGCTCGGGTGTGGACCAATCAAATTCAAGGACAGTGCATATCATTATCAGAGTTGCCTTTTTTGTTTGCATTCTGACTGGCTTGCATTGTGGTCATTGCAAACACGATGCCTTGAATAAAGGTGTCAGTTTTTTGCGCCAGTTAAAAGGGTTAAAAAACCCCATTACTATAACCCCTATCATCATCACCACCATCATCACCACCACCACCATTACAAGCCAACGGGTAAACATCGCCGTCGGCCGCTGAAGCTGGCCGCCCGCGGCACTGGCGGTTCGCCGCAACTTTGAAAGCTTTCGTCGGTGTCCCGGCTTTGCGCCGCAGGGCACAACCGACGTGGTGCTGCGTGCCGGCCCGGCCGGCGAATCGGCCCCGTTACCGTTCACGCGACCGCACGGGCGCCGGGTTTTAGCGACGCCGCGCCCTCACGCAGTCGCACGCCGTCACCTGACCCAAGCGCACGTCGCAGATTTACGCGCGGCGTGAATCTTCCGTTCTCTGGAACGAACGTCGCTCCTCATCGGGTGCCGTGACGACGATGAGACATTCGGCTGAGCTCGCCGTTTGGCGATAGCCGGGGCCCGCTGCGGTGAAAGGGCGCCGCGTAGCTCGTTGGGACCTTGCCTGGTGAGGCGATGAAATCGTTGATTTTAGTCTATGGGTCTGTATGCGTCTCTGTGTGTCTCTTGGGGTCTCTACGTATCTCTGTGCGTCTCTTGGGGTCTCTGTGTGTCTCTGTGTGTCTCTTGGGGTCTCTGTGTATCTCTGTGTGTCTCTTGGGGTCTCTGTGTATCTCTGTGTGTCTCTTGGGGTCTCTATGTATCTCTTGGGGTCTCTATGTATCTCTTGGGGTCTCTATGTATCTATATGTGTCTCTTGGGGTCTCTATGTATCTCTGTGTGTCTCTTGGGGTCTCTATGTGTCTATTGGGGTCTCTATGCATCTCTATGTATCTCTATGTGTCCTTGGGGTCTCTATGTATCTCTATGTGTCTCTTGGGGTCTCTATGTATCTATATGTATCTCTTGGGGTCTCTATGTATCTCTGTGTATCTCTATGTGTCTCTTGGGGTCTCTATGTATCTATATGTATCTCTTGGGGTCTCTATGTATCTTTGTGTGTCTCTTGGGGTCTCTATGTATCTCTATGTATCTCTATGTGTCTATTGGGGTCTCTATGTATCTCTGTGTGTCTCTTGGGGTCTCTATGTATCTCTATGTATCTCTTGGGGTCTCTATGTATCTCTGTGTGTCTCTTGGGGTCTCTATGTATCTCTATGTATCTCTTCAGGTCTCTATGTATCTCTATGTATCTCTTGGGGTCTCTGTATCTCTATGTATCTCTTGGGGTCTCTATGTATCTTTGTGTGTCACTTGGGGTCTCTATGTATCTCTATGTGTCTCTTCGGGTCTCTATGTATCTCTTGGGGTCTCTATGTATCTCTATGTGTCTCTTGGGGTCTCTATGTATCTCTTTGTGTCACTTGGGGTCTCTATGTATCTCTGTGTCTCTTTGTATCTCTGTGTCTCTTGGGGTCTCTATGTATCTCTATGTGTCTCTTGGGGTCTCTATGTATCTCTATGTATCTCTATGTGTCACTTGGGGTCTCTATGTATCTCTATGTATCTCTCTGTATCTCTATGTATCTCTATGTATCTCTATGTGTCTCTATGTGTCTGTATGTATCTCTATGTATCTCTATGTACCTCTATGTATCTCTTGGGGTCTTTATGTATCTCTATGTATCTCTATGTGTCTCTTGGGGTCTCTATGTATATCTCTGTGTCTCTTGGGGTCTCTATGTATCTCTATGTGTCTCTTGGGGTATCTATGTATCTCTCTGTGTCTCTATGTATCTCTATGTATCTCTATGTGTCTCTTGGGGTCTCTATGTATCTCTGTGTATCTCTATGTGTCTCTTGGGGTCTCTATGTTTCTCTATGTATCTCTATGTGTCTCTTGGGGTCTCTGTATCTCTATGTATCTCTACATGTCTCTTGGGGTCTCTGTGTATCTCTATGTATCTCTCTGTGTCTCTTGGGGTCTCTATGCATCTCTATGTGTCTCTGTGTATCTCTATGTATCTCTACGTGTCTCTTGGGGGTCTCTATGTATCACGTGGTTGAGCTGCTATGATTTGCGATGGGCAGCTCAGGGCTTCTGAATTCGAGCTACACAGCAGCTGGGGGGATGGGGGATGGATGGGGGATGGGGGGGGGGCCTTACCACCGCGTGCTACAACCCAAGGTAGTTGTTGTGATAGTCTGCAGTAAGCTCCACCGTGACCGATGTTGTCGTTGTCGTGGTGGATGCAGCTGGCACTCCGTGGGGCTCAAGGACCCATGGGCCTGACAGGGAGGCCGGGCCCAGTGGTGAGTGCAAATGCTCACCTCCTCCGCTCACCTCCTCCGCTCACCTCCTCCGCTCACCTCCTCCGCTCACCTCCTCCGCTCACCTCCTCCGCTCACCTCCTCCGCATAAACATACTACAACATACATGCAACATACATACATACAACACACATACAACACACATGCAACACACATACAACATACTACAACATGCATACAACATACATACAACACACATGCAACACACATACAACATACTACAACATGCATACAACATACTACAACATGCATGCAACGTACATGCAACGTACATACCACATACATGAGCCACGCATACAACTTGCATACAACACACATACAAAATACCACAACATACTACAACATACATGCAACACACATGCAACACACATACAACATACATGCAACATACTACAACGTACTACAACATACATGCAACACACATGTAACACACATACAACATACCACAACATACATACAACATACTACAACATACATACAACGTACATGCAACGTACATACCACATACATGAGACATGCATACAACTTACATACAACACACATGCAACACACATACAACATACTACAACATACATTTAACGTACATGCAACGTACATACCACATATATGAAACATGCATACAACTTACATACAACACACATACAAAATACTACAACATACATACAACATACTACAACATACTTACAACGTACATGCAACATACTACAACATACATACAACATACATACAACACACATACAACATACCACAACATACATACAACATACTACAACATACTACAACATACACACAGCATACTACAACATACATACAACATACATACAACATACTACAACATACTCCAACATACATACAACGTGCATGCAACATTCTACAACATACAACACACATACAACATACTACAACATACATACAACATACTGAAACATACTACAACATACATGCAACACACATGCAACACACATACAACATACTACAACACACATGCAACACACATGCAACATACTACAACATACATGCAACATACTACAACATACTACAACATACATGCAACACACATGCAACACACATACAACATACTACAACATACATGCAACACACATACAACATACTACAACATACTACAACATACATACAACATACATGCAACATACTACAACATACTACAAGTTACATGCAACACACATGCAACACACATACAACATACTACAACATACATACAACATACATGCAACATACTACAACATACTACAACACACATACAACACACACATACAACATACATACATGCATACACACACAGACCCTCACCACACGCAGAACCTCACGCTCACCTCTCACTCACCGTAACAGCCGTCATCAACGCATCCTCACCAATAACAACATCCGCCCCTCACCACGCCCCTCACCACGCCCCTAGCCACGCCCCTCACCACGCCCTTCACCATGCACCTCACCACGCCCCTCACCACGCCCCTCACCACGCACCTCACCACACCACCTCACCACGCCCCTCACCACGCCCCTCGCCACGCCCCTCACCACGCCCCTCACCTCACCACGCCCCTCATCTCACCACGCCCCTCGCCACGCCCCTAACCACACCACCTCACCACACCACCTCACCACACCACCTCACCACGCCCCTGTTGATGTGGTGGTGCTTGTTGTTGATGTGGTGGTGGTTGTTCATGTGGTGGTTGTTGTTGATGTGGTGGTTGTTGTTGATGTGGTGCTGGTTGCTGTTGATGTGGTGGTTGTTGTTGTTGATGTGGTGGTGGTTGTTGTTGATGTGGTGGTTGTTGTTGTTGATGTGGTGGTGGTTGTTGTTGATGTGGTGGTTGTTGTTGATGTGGTGGATGTTGTTGTTGATGTGGTGCTGGTTGCTGTTGATGTGGTGGTTGTTGTTGTTGATGTGGTGGTGGTTGTTGTTGATGTGGTGGTTGTTGTTGATGTGGTGGTTGTTGTTGTTGATGTGGTGGTGGTTGTTGTTGATGTGGTGGATGTTGTTGTTGATGTGGTGGTTGTTGTTGTTGATGTGGTGGTGGTTGTTGTGGTGGTTGTTGTTGATGTGGTGGATGTTGTTGTTGATGTGGTGGTTGTTGTTGATGTGGTGGTTGTTGTTGTTGATGTGGTGGTCGTTGTTGTTGATGTGGTGGATGGTGTTGTTGATGTGGTGGTTGTTGTTGTTGATGTGGTGGTGGTTGTTGTTGTGGTGGTTGTTGTTGATGTGGTGGATGTTGTTGTTGATGTGGTGGTTGTTGTTGTTCATGTGGTGGTTGTTGTTGTTCATGTGGTGGTTGTTGTGGTGGTGGTTGTTGTGGTGGTGGTTGTTATTGATGTGGTGGTTGTTGTTGATGTGGTTGTGGTTGTTGTTATTGTTGTGGTGGTTGTTGTTGATGTGGTGGTTGTTGATGATGTGGTGGTTGTTGTTGTGGTAGTTGTTGTTGATGTGGTGGTTGTTGTTGTTGATGTGGTGGTGGTTGTTGTTGTGGTTGTTGTTGATGTGGTGGTTGTTGTTGATGTGGTGGTTGTTGTTGATGTGGTGGTTGTTGTTGATGTGGTGGTGGTTGTTGTTGATGTGGTGGTGGTTGATGTGGTGGTTGTTGTTGATGTGATGGTTGTTGTTGATGTGCTGGTTGTTGTTGTGGTTGTTGTTGTTGTGGTGGTTGTTGTGGTGGTTGTTGTTGATGTGGTGGTTGTTGTTGTGGTTGTTGTGGTTGTTGTTATTGTTGTGGTTGTTGTTGTTGATGTGGTGGTTGTTGTTGCGGTTGTTGTGGTGGTTGTTGTTGATGTGGTTGTGGTTGTTGTTGTGGTTGTTGTGGTTGTTATTGTTGTGGTTGTTGTTGTTGTGGTGGTTGTTGTGGTGGTTGTTGTTGATGTGGTGGTTGTTGTTGTGGTTGTTGTGGTTGTTGTTATTGTTGTGGTTGTTGTTGTTGATGTGGTGGTTGTTGTTGTGGTTGTTGTGGTGGTGGTTGTTGTTGATGTGGTTGTGGTTGTTGTTGTGGTTGTTGTGGTTGTTATTGTTGTGGTTGTTGTTGTTGTGGTGGTTGTTGTGGTGGTTGTTGTTGATGTGGTGGTTGTTGTTGTGGTTGTTGTGGTTGTTGTTATTGTTGTGGTTGTTGTTGTTGATGTGGTGGTTGTTGTTGTGGTTGATGTGGTGGTGGTTGATGTGGTGGTTGTTGTTGATGTGGTGGTTGTTGTTGATGTGGTGGTGGTTGTTGTTGTGGTTGTTGTGGTTGTTGTTGTTGATGTGGTGGTTGTTGTTGTGGTTGTTGTGGTTGTTGTTATTGTTGTGGTTGTTGTTGTTGATGTGGTGGTGGTTCTCTGGGACAGGGCACGCCTGGCATCCCAGGGATCAAGGGGGAACGAGGAGACGATGGGGTTCAGGTAAACCTCCTCATCACACCTCATCACACCTCATCACACCTCATCACACCTCATCACACAGAGACTCATAGACTCACCATACAGAGACCCATAGACTCATCACACAGAGACCCTTAGACTCACCACATAGAGACCCATAGACTCATCGCACAGAGACCCATAGACTCACCACACAGAGAACCACAGACTCACACACAGAGACCCATAGACTCATCACACAGAGACCCATAGACTCACCACACAGAGACCCATAGACTCACCACACAGAGACCCATAGACTCACCACACAGAGAACCACAGACTCACACACAGAGACCCATAGACTCATCACACAGAGACCCACAGACTCACCACACAGAGACCCATAGACTCACCACACAGATACCCATAGACTCACCACACAGAGACCCATAGACTCATCACACAGATACCCATAGGCTCACTACACAGAGTCCCATAGACTCACCACATAGATACCCACAGACTCACCACACAGATACCCATAGACTCACCACACAGATACCCATAGACTCACCACACAGAGGCCCATAGACTCACCACACAGACCCATAGACTCACCACACAGAGACCCATGGACTCACCACACAGCCCCATAGACTCACCACACACAGCCCCATAGACTCAACACACAGCCCCATAGACTCACCACACAGACCCATAGACTCACCACACAGCCCCATAGACTCACTCACACAGAGACCCATAGACTCACTCACACTGAGACCCATAGACTCACCACACAGCCCCATAGACTCACCACACAGAGACCCATAGACTCACCACACAGCCCCATAGACTCACCACACAGAGACCCATAGACTCACCACACAGAGACCCACAGACTCACCACACAGCCCCATAGACTCACCACACAGAGACCCACAGACTCACACACAGATACCCATAGGCTCACTACACAGAGTCCCATAGACTCACCACATAGATACCCACAGACTCACCACACAGATACCCATAGACTCACCACACAGATACCCATAGACTCACCACACAGAGGCCCATAGACTCACCACACAGATACCCATAGACTCACCACACAGATACCCATAGACTCACCACACAGAGGCCCATAGACTCACCACACAGACCCATAGACTCACCACACAGAGACCCATAGACTCACCACACAGCCCCATAGACTCACCACACACAGCCCCATAGACTCAACACACAGCCCCATAGACTCAACACACAGCCCCATAGACTCACCACACAGACCCATAGACTCACCACACAGCCCCATAGACTCACTCACACAGAGACCCATAGACTCACTCACACTGAGACCCATAGACTCACCACACAGCCCCATAGACTCACCACACAGAGACCCATAGACTCACCACACAGAGACCCACAGACTCACCACACAGCCCCATAGACTCACCACACAGAGACCCACAGACTCACACACAGAGACCCACAGACTCACCATACAGAGACCCATAGACTCACACACAGAGACCCACAGACCACACAGCCCCATAGACTCACCACACAGAGACCCATAGACTCACCACACAGAGACCCACAGACTCACCACACAGCCCCATAGACTCACCACACAGAGACCCACAGACTCACACACAGAGACCCACAGACTCACCATACAGAGACCCATAGACTCACACACAGAGACCCACAGACTCACCACACAGAGACCCATAGACTCAACCCACAGAGACCCACAGACTCATCACACAGAGACCCATAGACTCACCACACAGCCCCATAGACTCACCACACACAGCCCCATAGACTCACCACACACAGACCCACAGACTCACCACACAGCCCCATAGACTCACCACACAGCCTCATAGACTCACCACACAGACCCATAGACTCACCACACAGAGACCCATAGACTCATCACACAGAGACCCATAGACTCACCACACAGCCCCATAGACTCACCACACACAGCCCCATAGACTCACCACACAGCCTCATAGACTCACCACACAGACCCATAGACTCACCACACAGAGACCCATAGACTCGTCACACAGAGACCCATAGACTCACCACACAGAGACCCATAGACTCATCACACAGAGACCCATAGACTCACCACACACAGCCCCATAGACTCACCACACACAGACCCACAGACTCACCACACAGCCCCATAGACTCACCACACAGATCCATAGACTCACCACACAGAGACCCATAGACTCGTCACACAGAGACCCATAGACTCACCACACAGAGACCCACAGACTCACCACACAGAGACCCATAGACTCATCACACACAGCCCCATAGACTCACCACACAGCCCCATAGACTCACCACACAGCCCCATAGACTCACCACACAGCCCCATGGACTAATGTTGTTGTTGTTGTTTGTGTGGATCAGGGACCCAGGGGAGCTCAAGGCCCTGCAGGGCTGCAGGGGCGAGTGGGCCGGAGGGTGAGTGGACACCTCCACCGCGTCGTGGACCACGCGACACTCCGCACGAGGGAGCCCGGCGCTCGGTGTTTTGCGTGTGCCGTGTGTTGTGTGCCTTGCCGTGTGACGTGTGCTGTGTGCCGTGTGCTGTGTGCTGTGTGACGTGTGCCGTGCTGTGTGACGTGTGCCGTGTGACGTGTGCTGTGTGACGTGTGCTGTGTGACGTGTGCCGTGTGACGTGTGCCGTGTGACGTGTGACGTGCTGTGTGACGTGTGACGTGTGCCGTGTGACGTGTACTGTGTGACGTGTGCTGTGTGCTGTGTGACGTGTGATGTGTGCCGTGTGACGTGTGACGTGTGCTGTGTGACGTGTGACGTGTGACATGTGCTGTGTGACGTGTGACGTGTGCTGTGTGACGTGTGCTGTGTGACGTGTGCTGTGTGACGTGTGCTGTGTGACGTGTGCCGTGTGACGTGTGACGTGTGCTGTGTGACGTGTGCCGTGTGACGTGTGCTGTGTGCCGTGTGCCATGTGCCGTGTGACGTGTGACGTGTGACGTGTGACGTGTGCTGTGTGTTGTGTGACGTGTGCTGTGTGACGTGTGCCGTGTGACGTGTGACGTGTGCTGTGTGACGTGTGACGTGTACTGTGTGACGTGTGACGTGTGCTGTGTGACGTGTGCTGTGTGACGTGTGACGTGTACTGTGTGACGTGTGACGTGTACTGTGTGACGTGTGACGTGTGACGTGCGACGTGTGACGTGTGCCGTGCGACGTGTACTGTGTGACGTGTGACGTGTACTGTGTGACGTGTGCCGTGTGCTGTGTGACGTGTGACGTGTGCTGTGTGACGTGTGACGTGTGACATGTGCCGTGTGACGTGTGCCGTGTGACGTGTGCCGTGTGCTGTGTGACGTGTGACGTGTGCTGTGTGACGTGTGCTGTGTGACGTGTGCTGTGTGACGTGTGCTGTGTGCCGTGTGCCGTGTGACGTGTGACGTGTACTGTGTGACGTGTGACGTGTGACGTGCGACGTGTGACGTGTGCCGTGCGACGTGTACTGTGTGACGTGTGACGTGTACTGTGTGACGTGTGCCGTGTGCTGTGTGACGTGTGACGTGTGCTGTGTGACGTGTGACGTGTGACATGTGCCGTGTGACGTGTGCCGTGTGACGTGTGCCGTGTGCTGTGTGACGTGTGACGTGTGCTGTGTGACGTGTGCTGTGTGACGTGTGACGTGTGCCGTGTGACGTGTGCTGTGTGACGTGTGACGTGTGCTGTGTGACGTGTACTGTGTGACGTGTGCCGTGTGACGTGTGACGTGTGCTGTGTGCTGTGTGCTGTGTGACGTGTGATGTGTGCCGTGTGACGTGTGCTGTGTGACATGTGCTGTGTGACGTGTGCTGTGTGACGTGTGCCGTGCTGTGTGACGTGTGACGTGTGACATGTGACGTGTGCTGTGTGACGTGTGACGTGTGCTGTGTGACGTGTGACGTGTGCCGTGCTGTGTGACGTGTGCCGTGTGACGTGTGACGTGTGCCGTGCCGTGTGACGTGTGCCGTGTGACGTGTGCCGTGTGACGTGTGCTGTGTGACGTGTGCTGTGTGACGTGTGCTGTGTGACGTGTGACGTGTGCTGTGTGACGTGTGACGTGTGCTGTGTGACGTGTACTGTGTGACGTGTGCCGTGTGACGTGTGACGTGTGACGTGTGCTGTGTGCCGTGTGCTGTGTGACGTGTGACGTGTGCTATGTGACGTGTGCTGTGTGATGTGTGACGTGTGCCGTGTGACATGTGCCGTGTGACGTGTGCTGTGACGTGTGCTGTGTGACGTGTGCCGTGCTGTGTGACGTGTGCTGTGTGACGTGTGCCGTGCTGTGTGACGTGTGACGTGTGACATGTGACGTGTGCTGTGTGACGTGTGACGTGTGCCGTGCTGTGTGACGTGTGCCGTGTGCCGTGCTGTGTGACGTGTGCCGTGTGACGTGTGCTGTGTGACGTGTGCCGTGCTGTGTGACGTGTGCCGTGTGACGTGTGCTGTGTGACGTGTGCTGTGTGACGTGTGCCGTGCTGTGTGCAGGGACGTGCAGGGGCTGATGGGCCTCGAGGTCTTCCTGGCATCCCTGGCACCAAGGTGATAGCCGGCACACACCACACACAGCCAGTACACACAGCCAGTACACACAGCCAGTACACACAGCTAGTACACACACACAGCCAGTACACACAGCCAGTACACACACACAGCTAGTACACACACACACAGCTAGTACACACACAGCTAGTACACACACACAGCTAGTACACACACAGCTAGTACACACATGCAGCTAGTACACACACACAGCTAGTACACACACAGCTAGTACACACACAGCTAGTACACACACACAGCTAGTACACACACACACACCACACAGCCAGTACACACAGCTAGTACACACAGCTAGTACACACAGCTAGTACACACATACACACAGCTAGTACACACACACAGCCAGTACACACACACACAGCTAGTACACACACACACAGCTAGTACACACACACACAGTATACACACACAGCTAGTACACACACACACACAGTACACACACACAGCTAGTACACACACACAGCTAGTACACACACACAGTTAGTACACACAGCCAGTACACACAGCTAGTACACACACACACAACCAGTACACACACACAACTAGTACACACACACAGCTAGTACACACACACACAACCAGTACACACACAACTAGTACACACACACAGCTAGTACACACACACACACAGCTTGTACACACACAACTAGTACACACACACAGCTAGTACACACAGCTAGTACACACACACAGCTAGTACACACACACAGCTAGTACACACAGCCAGTACACACAGCTAGTACACACACACACAGTGAGGACACACACACAGCTAGTACACACACAGCTAGTACACACACACAGCCAGTACACACACACACAGCTAGTACACACAGCTAGTACACACACACACACAGCTAGTACACACACATAGTACACACACACACACAGCTAGTACACACACACACACAGCTAGTACACACACATAGTACACACACACACACAGCTAGTACACACACACACACAGCTAGTACACACACATAGTACACACACACACACAGCTAGTACACACACACACACAGCTAGTACACACACATAGTACACACACACACACAGCTAGTACACACACACACACAGCTAGTACACACACACACACACAGCTAGTACACACACATAGTACACACACACACACAGCTAGTACACACACACACACAGCTAGTACACACAGCTAGTACACATAGCGTGGAGATGGCCACCCACCCCCTCTGTGTGTGCCACAGTGCCGGTAGCCTTCATAGGCGCTGCTGCTGCCACTCGCTACTAACAGCACTTGCCCCAACAGTATTCTAAAGGCTACACGGGGGATCTTTGTCTTTATCTTTGTGTTCAGGGAGAGCGCGGGTTTGACGGCCTACCTGGACTGCCAGGAGAGAAAGGCAACCGGGTGAGTTACTCACCACACCCTGGTGCACAGCTCACCACACACATCACAGCTCACCACCCCTCTCACCACGCACACCACGAGAGACCAGGATATCACTCACCCTCTCATCCCACCCCTCTCATCCCACCCCTCTCATCCCACCCCTCTCATCCCACCCCTCTCATCCCACCCCTCTCATCCCACCCCTCTCATCCCACCCCTCTCATCCCACCCCTCTCATCCCACCCCTCTCATCCCACCCCTCTCATCCCACCCCTCTCATCCCACCCCTCTCATCCCACCCCTCTCATCCCACCCCTCTCATCCCACCCCTCTCATCCCACCCCTCTCATCCCACCCCTCTCATCCCACCCCTCTCATCCCACCCCTCTCATCCCACCCCTCTCATCCCACCCCTCTCATCCCACCCCTCTCATCCCACCCCTCTCATCCCACCCCTCTCATCCCACCCCTCTCATCCCACCCCTCTCATCCCACCCCTCTCATCCCACCCCTCTCATCCCACCCCTCTCATCCCACCCCTCTCATCCCACCCCTCTCATCCCACCCCTCTCATCCCACCCCTCTCATCCCACCCCTCTCATCCCACCCCTCTCATCCCACCCCTCTCATCCCACCCCTCTCATCCCACCCCTCTCATCCCACCCCTCTCATCCCACCCCTCTCATCCCACCCCTCTCATCCCACCCCTCTCATCCCACCCCTCTCATCCCACCCCTCTCATCCCACCCCTCTCATCCCACCCCTCTCATCCCACCCCTCTCATCCCACCCCTCTCATCCCACCCCTCTCATCCCACCCCTCTCATCCCACCCCTCTCATCCCACCCCTCTCATCCCACCCCTCTCATCCCACCCCTCTCATCCCACCCCTCTCATCCCACCCCTCTCATCCCACCCCTCTCATCCCACCCCTCTCATCCCACCCCTCTCATCCCACCCCTCTCATCCCACCCCTCTCATCCCACCCCTCTCATCCCACCCCTCTCATCCCACCCCTCTCATCCCACCCCTCTCATCCCACCCCTCTCATCCCACCCCTCTCATCCCACCCCTCTCATCCCACCCCTCTCATCCCACCCCTCTCATCCCACCCCTCTCATCCCACCCCTCTCATCCCACCCCTCTCATCCCACCCCTCTCATCCCACCCCTCTCATCCCACCCCTCTCATCCCACCCCTCTCATCCCACCCCTCTCATCCCACCCCTCTCATCCCACCCCTCTCATCCCACCCCTCTCATCCCACCCCTCTCATCCCACCCCTCTCATCCCACCCCTCTCATCCCACCCCTCTCATCCCACCCCTCTCATCCCACCCCTCTCATCCCACCCCTCTCATCCCACCCCACTCCGCTCTCATCCCACCCCACTCCGCTCTCATCCCACCCCACTCCGCTCTCATCCCACCCCACTCCGCTCTCATCCCACCCCACTCCGCTCTCATCCCACCCCACTCCGCTCTCATCCCACCCCACTCCGCTCTCATCCCACCCCACTCCGCTCTCATCCCACCCCACTCCGCTCTCATCCCACCCCACTCCGCTCTCATCCCACCCCACTCCGCTCTCATCCCACCCCACTCCGCTCTCATCCCACCCCACTCCGCTCTCATCTCACGCCACTGCCCTCCACTCACTCTCCTCCCTCTCCCCTCTCATCTCACTCCACTCCCCTCCACGGACTCTCCTCCCTCTCCCCTCCACTCACTCCACTCCCCTCCACTCACTCCACTCCCCTCCACGGACTCTCCTACCTCTCCCCTCTCATCTCACTCCACTCCCCTCCACTCACTCCCCTACCTCTCACCTCTCATCTCACTCCACTCCTCTCCACTCACTCTCCTCCCTCTCCCCTCTCATCTCACTCCACTCCCCTCCACTCTCTCTCCTCCCTCTCCCCTCTCATCTCACTCCACTCCCCTCCACTCTCTCTCCTCCCTCTCCCCTCTCATCTCACTCCACTCCCCTCCACTCATTCCCCTACCTCTCATCTCACTCCACTCCTCTCCACTCACTCTCCTCCCTCTCCCCTCTCATCTCACTCCACTCTACTCCACTCACTCTCCTCCCTCTCATCTCACTCCACTCCCCTCCACTCTCTCTCCTCCCTCTCCCCTCTCATCTCACTCCACTCCCCTCCACTCACTCCCCTACCTCTCATCTCACTCCACTCCTCTCCACTCACTCTCCTCCCTCTCCCCTCTCATCTCACTCCACTCTACTCCACTCACTCTCCTCCCTCTCCCCTCTCATCTCACTCCACTCTACTCCACTCACTCTCCTCCCTCTCCCCTCTCATCTCACTCCACTCCCCTCCACTCACTCCCCTACCTCTCCCCTCTCATCTCACTCCACTCCACTCCCTCTCCTACCTCTCCCCTCTCATCTCACTCCACTCCCCTCCACTCACTCTCCTACCTCTCCCCTCTCATCTTCTACCTACATGATGTATGTGTGTTGTCTGTGTGTGTGTCTGTGTGTGTGTCTGTGTGTGTGTCTGTGTGTGTGTGTGTGTCTGCGTGTCTGCGTGTGTGTGTCTGTCTGTGTGTGTGTCTGTCTGTGTGTGTCTGTGTGTGTGTCTGTGTGTGTGTGTCTGTGTGTGTGTCTGCGTGTGTGTGTGTCTGTGTGTGTCTTGTTGTGTCTGCGTGTCTGCGTGTGTGTCTGTGTGTGTGTCTGTGTGTGTGTCTGTGTGTCTGTGTGTGTGTCTGTGTGTCTGCGTGTGTGTATCTGTGTCTGTGTGTGTGTGTCTGTGTGTGTGTCTGCGTGTGTGTGCTGCGTTGTGATTGGCCAGGGAGACGCCGGCCCCAGTGGCCCCCAGGGCACCTTGGGAGAGGATGGAGTGAGGGTGAGTAGAGAGGGGGTGGTGAGGGTGTGGTGAAGGTGTGGTGAGGGTGAGTGTGTGGTGAGTGTGTGGTGAGGGTGAGTGTGTGGTGAGGGTGTGTGGTAAGACTCACACAGGCCCCATCGACTGACGGTGATGATGGTGATGACGACAATGATGATGATGACGGTGATGATGATGTCGATGGTGATGATGACCGTGGTGATGATGACGGTGATGACGGTGGTGATGATGACGGTGGTGACGATGACGGTGATGATGATGACGTTGATGATGATGACGGTGGTGGTGATGGCGGTGATGATGATGACGGTGATGATGATGACGGTGATGATGATGACGGTGATGACGGTGACAGTGATGATGGTGACGATGATGACGGTGATGATGACGGTGATGACGATGACGATGATGACGGTGACGGTGACGATGGTGACGATGATCACGGTGATGATGATGACTATGGTGATGATGATGACGGTGATGATGATGATGACGGTGATGATGATGATGACGGTGATGATGATGTCGATGGTGATGATGATCGTGGTGATGATGACGGTGATGACGGTGATGATGACGGTGGTGATGATGACGACGTTGATGACGGTGGTGACAATGACGGCGATGATGATGACGATGACGACGACGTTGATGACGGTGGTGACGATGATGACGGTGACGACGTTGATGACGGTGGTGATGACGGTGGTGGCGATGATGATGATGACGGTGACGACGGTGACGACGGCGGTGGTGGCGATGACGATGACGGTGGTGACGACGACGACGACGATGATGACGTTGTTGACGGTGACGACGGCGGTGGTGGCGATGACGATGACGGTGGTGATGATGACGTTGTTGACGGTGACGACGGTGGTGGTGGCGATGACGATGACGGTGGTGGCGATGACGATGATGGTGGTGGCGATGACGATGATGGTGGTGGCGATGACGATGATGGTGGTGGCGATGACGATGATGGTGGTGGCGATGACGATGATGGTGGTGGCGATGACGATGATGGTGGTGGCGATGACGATGATGGTGGTGGCGATGACGATGATGGTGGTGGCGATGACGATGATGGTGGTGGCGATGACGATGATGGTGGTGGCGATGACGATGATGGTGGTGGCGATGACGATGATGGTGGTGGCGATGACGATGATGGTGGTGGCGATGACGATGATGGTGGTGGCGATGACGATGATGGTGGTGGCGATGACGATGATGGTGGTGGCGATGACGATGATGGTGGTGGCGATGACGATGATGGTGGTGGCGATGACGATGATGGTGGTGGCGATGACGATGATGGTGGTGGCGATGACGATGACGGTGGTGGCGATGACGATGACGGTGGTGGCGATGACGATGATGGTGGTGGCGATGACGATGACGGTGGTGGCGATGACGATGATGGTGGTGGCGATGACGATGATGGTGGTGGCGATGACGATGATGATGACGGTGGTGGCGATGACGATGATGGTGGTGGCGATGACGATGATGGTGGTGGCGATGACGATGATGATGACGGTGGTGGCGATGACGATGACGGTGGTGGCGATGACGATGACGGTGGTGGCGATGACGATGATGGTGGTGGCGATGACGATGACGGTGGTGGCGATGACGATGATGGTGGTGGCGATGACGATGATGGTGGTGGCGATGACGATGATGATGACGGTGGTGGCGATGACGATGATGATGACGGTGGTGGCGATGACGATGACGGTGGTGGCGATGACGATGATGGTGGTGGCGATGACGATGATGGTGGTGGCGATGACGATGATGGTGGTGGCGATGACGATGATGATGACGGTGGTGGCGATGACGATGCCGTTGCAGGGCGACGATGGCGAGCCGGGACAGCGCGGCTTGCCGGGAGAGCCGGTGAGTTTGGCCGTCGACGCCGCCCCCTGAGAGATCCGCCGAGGTTTTAGTTTCCTCGTCTCCTTCAAACGCGTCTCACGCGAGTCGAGGAAGCGGCCACGGAGGAAAACCAAACGCGTGGCACGCGACGGGGGGCTCGGGATTCGGGGGGCCCCCCCCCTCCCCCCCCCCCCCCCCGAAGAGCGCCGGCGGTGAACCTGGCAGCCGAGAAAGGGGGGCGTCGGTTTTGGGCTCGCCGTGGGGGGATTCTCATCGGCGATGCGGTCGATGGCGTTGTTAATGTTGTCGTTGATGATGTTGTTGTTCTTGGTTCTTTCGGTAAAGTCACCACCGCTCCCCACATAGGGAAACGATGAAAAAAATTATAAAACGATAAAATTCTCACGGCGTTTCGACTGCAACACAAGCAGCAATCATCATCAGGTGTGAAAACCACAGCAAGACAATTTTTTTTTTAAAAAACGCCACTTTTTTCATAATTTACTTGCCGTGGTTTTCACACCTGATGATGATTGCTGCTTGTGTTGCAGTCGAAACGTCGTGAGAATTTTATTGTTTTATATATTTTTATTATTTTATTATTTTATTGTTTCCCCTATCTACGTAGTGGTGACTTTACCGAAAGAACCAAGAATATGAATCACTGCAGTCACGAAAAGCTTTAAATCATGATGATGTTGTTGTTGTTTTTGTTGACGATGTTGATTTTGTTGTTGTTGATGTCGATAATGTCGTTGATGTTGTCGATGATGTTGAATTTGTTGATGTTGTCGATGTTGTTTATGTTGTTGATGATGATAATGTTGTTGATGATGTTAATGTTATTTATGTTGTTGTTGATGATGTTGTTGTTGATGTTGTTGTTGATGTTGTTGTTGTTCAGGGTCCACGAGGGTTGTTGGGTCCACGTGGATCTCCGGGCGCCCAGGGATCATCTGTGAGTCAAGCGCACAACCACGCACACACAGACAAAGGTCCCCCGTGTAGCCTCAACAGACTGTTGCGGCAAGCCCTGCCAGCGAGTAGCAGCACCTGTGAAGGCCGGCACGGCACACGAGTGTGAGCGGGGTGGCCCAGCAACCACGTCCCGGCCGCCTTTGTCTCTCCCCCAGCGCTAGCGATGTCCGCCACACACCGCTGCACCACCAGTGCCTCGCTACCGCACACCACATGCTAAGATCCCCCGTGTAGCCTCAACAGACCGCAGGGGCAAGTGCTGTTAGTAGCGAGCAGCAGCAGCAGCAGCAGCCTACGAAGGGGTGGGGTGGCCCAGCAAACCACGCCCCGGCCGCCTTTGTCTCTCCCCCAGCGCTAGCGATGTTTAACTACGCTCAACACCGGCCGCACCGGGTTTACTCATTTGAGGCTGAGTCGAGCCTAGCGGGAGACCCGGGAGCTGTCCCGGACATTCGTCACTGGGATGTTGGTGGCCGTGAGCGGGTGTCCAACTCGGGCCGGGGGAGGTTTGTGGCGCTCTCGGGGTGAAAGGCTGCACGGGAGGAGGAGGAGGTGGTGGAGGAGGTGGAGGAGGTGGAGGAGGAGGAGGTGGAGGAGGAGGAGCGGTGGGGAGGAGAGGGAGTCTCTGTCTCTGTCTCATATCGGAAGAGCTGCTGCCGGCCGGAGTAGCGGGAATTTTCACGTAACGTAGACAACAGAGTGAAAGAGAGACGGAGAGGGAGAGAGACACTCAGTCACTGTGCACGATGTCCCTGTAGGTGACGATGAGAGAGAGACACGCAGACATCAAATCTACAGCAGCAGCAGCAGGCATCATCAGGGTCGGGATCGAACCCACGACCTCATGCATACCAGGCGAGGTAGTTAACATCTCCTAGCCACCGAGATGATGATGTGAGAGAGACGCAGACTCCAAATCTACAGCAGCAGCAGGCATCATCAGGGTCGGGATTGAACCCACGACCTCCTGCACACCAGGCGAGGTAGTTAACATCTCCTAGCCACCGTGATGATGATGATGAGAGAGACACAGACCTCCTGTAGACCAGGCAAGGTAGTTAACATCTCCTAGCCACCGTGATGATGATGAGAGAGAGACGCAGACACCAAATATACAGCAGCAGCAGGCATCATCAGGGTCGGGATCGAACCCACGACCTCCTGCATACCAGGCGAGGCAGTTAACATCTCCTAGCCACCGTGATGATGATGTGAGAGAGACACAGACTCCAAATCTACAGCAGCAGCAGCAGGCATCATCAGGGTCGGGATGGAACCCACGACCTCCTGCACACCAGGCGAGGTAGTTAACATCTCCTAGCCACCGTGATGATGATGAGAGAGAGAGAGAGAGACACAGACTCCACATATACAGCAGCAGCAGCAGGCATCATCAGGGTCGGGATGGAACCCACGCGGCTGGCTGTGTGTGTGCCACCCTCACCGCCGTTCCGCCTGTTCCTCGCTCTCTCACCACCCCCACGCCTTCCGCCCCACGTCCTCCCACTTGTGCAGGGGGTGAGGGGTCTGGATGGGCCTCCTGGACCGAAGGGGAACATGGTAGGTGGACACCGCACACACGCACCACACACACGCACGCACCACACACACGCACCACACACACACACCACACACACACCACACACACACACGCACCACACACACACACACCACACACACGCACCACACACACACACACCACACACGCACCACACACACACACACCACACACACGCACCACACACACACGCACCACACACACACCACACACACACACGCACCACACACACATGTACCACACGTACCTTGTACTCATCACGTGTCTTATGCCTCACGTGTTGTGTGTCTCGTGTTGTGTGTCTGGTGTTGTGTGTCACGTGTTGTGTGTCACGTGTTGTGTGTCACGTGTTGTGTGTCTCGTGTTGTGTCTCTCGTGTTGTGTGTCACGTGTTGTGTGTCACGTGTTGTGTGTCACGTGTTGTGTGTCTCGTGTTGTGTCTCTCGTGTTGTGTGTCACGTGTTGTGTGTCACGTGTTGTGTGTCACGTGTTGTGTGTCTCGTGTTGTGTGTCACGTGTTGTGTGTCTCGTGTTGTGTGTCTCGTGTTGTGTGTCACGTGTTGTGTCTCACGTGTTGTGTGTCACGTGTTGTGTGTCACGTATTGTGTGTCTCGTGTTGTGTGTCACGTGTTGTGTCTCTCGTGTTGTGTGTCTCGTGTTGTGTGTCACGTGTTGTGTGTCACGTGTTGTGTGTCACGTGTTGTGTCTCTCGTGTTGTGTGTCACGTGTTGTGTGTCACGTGTTGTGTGTCTCGTGTTGTGTCACGTGTTGTGTCTCACGTGTTGTGTGTCACGTGTTGTGTCTCACGTGTTGTGTGTCACGTGTTGTGTCTCTCGTGTTGTGTGTCTCGTGTTGTGTGTCACGTGTTGTGTGTCACGTGTTGTGTCTCACGTGTTGTGTGTCTCGTGTTGTGTCTCTCGTGTTGTGTGTCTCGTGTTGTGTGTCACGTGTTGTGTGTCACGTGTTGTGTGTCACGTGTTGTGTCTCTCGTGTTGTGTGTCACGTGTTGTGTGTCACGTGTTGTGTGTCTCGTGTTGTGTCACGTGTTGTGTCTCACGTGTTGTGTGTCACGTGTTGTGTCTCACGTGTTGTGTGTCACGTGTTGTGTCTCTCGTGTTGTGTGTCTCGTGTTGTGTGTCACGTGTTGTGTGTCACGTGTTGTGTCTCACGTGTTGTGTGTCACGTGTTGTGTGTCTCGTGTTGTGTGTCTCGTGTTGTGTGTCTCGTGTTGTGTCTCTCATGTTGTGTGTCACGTGTTGTGTGTCACGTGTTGTGTGTCACGTGTTGTGTGTCACCTGTTGTGTGTCACGTGTTGTGTGTCTCGTGTTGTGTCTCTCGTGTTGTGTGTCACGTGGTGTGTCTCACGTGTTGTGTGTCACGTGTTGTGTGTCTCGTGTTGTGTCTCTCGTGTTGTGTGTCTCGTGTTGTGTGTCACGTGTTGTGTGTCACGTGTTGTGTGTCACGTGTTGTGTGTCACGTGTTGTGTGTCACGTGTTGTGTGTCTCTTGTGTTGTGTGTCTCGTGTTGTGTGTCACGTGTTGTGTGTCTCGTGTTGTGTGTCACGTGTTGTGTCTCTCGTGTTGTGTGTCACGTGTTGTGTGTCACGTGTTGTGTGTCTCTTGTGTTGTGTGTCTCGTGTTGTGTGTCACGTGTTGTGTGTCTCGTGTTGTGTGTCACGTGTTGTGTCTCTCGTGTTGTGTGTCACGTGTTGTGTGTCTCGTGTTGTGTGTCTCGTGTTGTGTCCCACGTGTTGTGTTTCACGTGTTGTGTGTCACGTGTTGTGTCTCTCGTGTTGTGTGTCACGTGTCTTATGCCTCACGTGTTGTGTGTCACGTGTTGTGTCTCTCGTGTTGTGTGTCACGTGTTGTGTGTCACGTGTTGTGTGTCTCGTGTTGTGTGTCACGTGTTGTGTGTCACATGTTGTGTGTCACGTGTTGTGTGTCTCGTGTTGTGTCTCTCGTGTTGTGTGTCTCGTGTTGTGTGTCACGTGTTGTGTGTCTCGTGTTGTGTCTCACGTGTTGTGTGACACGTGTTGTGTCTCTCTCAGGGCCCGCAAGGAGAGCCTGGTCCACCTGGTCAGCAGGGCACTCCCGGGTCACAGGTGAGGAGTCGTGGGGTCACTCAGCGGGGTGACGAAACTTCACTGCTACAACTGAACTATGTTGCTGTGTCACCAGCTGTAAGGCGCCACTGGGGTTGCTGTGTTTAACACGTAGGCTTTCGCGACCAATATTATTCATAATAAAGGTTTTTGGGTTAGAGCGAGTTTATTTATAAATGTGTCGTAACCCTCCACCACCCGACACGGCCAATCAGCAAAAAAAAAAGTGTCACGTTGACAAAAGACAAATAATTCACTACTTTAGCCCACCGGTGTGTTGAAGAGTGAATCCACATTTACAGTTTGTACTCAATTTACAGTTTGTACTCAAACTGTAAATGTGGATTCACTCTTCAACAAACCGGTGGGCTAAAGTAGTGAATTGTCTTTTGTCAACGTGACACTTTTTTTTGCTGATTGGCCGTGTCGGGTGGTGGAGGGTTACGACACATTTATAAATTAACGCGATCTAACCCAAAAACCTTTATTATGAATTGCTGTGTAGCTGTTTGTTCAGAAGCAATCTGGCCATCACCCACAGAGACCCACAGAGACCCACACTCATAGAGACCCACAGAGACCCACACTCATAGAGACCCACAGAGACCCACACTCACAGAGACTCACAGAGACCCCGACTCACAGAGACTCACAGAGACTCACAGAGACCCACAGAGATCCCGACTCACAGAGACTCATAGAGACCCACTGATACCCCGACTCACAGAGACTTACTGAGACCCACTGAGACCCTGACTCACAGAGACCCACAGAGACCCACAGAGACCCCGACTCACAAAGACTCACAGAGACCCACAGAGACCCACAGAGACCCACAGAGACCCACAGAGACCCACAGAGACCCCGACTCACAGAGGCTCACAGAGACCCACAGAGACCCCGACTCACAGAGACCCACAGAGACCCACAGAGACCCCGACTCACAGAGACCCACAGAGACCCCGACTCACAAAGACTCACAGAGACCCACAGAGACCCACAGAGACCCACAGAGACCCCGACTCACAGAGGCTCACAGAGACCCACAGAGACCCCGACTCACAGAGACCCACAGAGACCCACAGAGACCCCGACTCACAAAGACTCACAGAGACTCACAGAGACCCACAGAGACCCACAGAGACCCCGACTCACAGAGACCTACAGAGACCCACTGAGACCCTGACTCACAGAGACTCACTGAGACCCACAGAGACCCCGACTCACGGAGACTCACAGAGACTCACAGAGACACAGACTCACAGAGACTCACAGAGACCCATACTCATAGAGACTCACAGAGACCCACTGAGACCCCGACTCACAGAGACTCACAGAGACCCACAGAGACCCCGACTCACAGAGACTCACAGAGACCCACAGAGACCCACTGAGACCTTGACTCACAGAGACTCACGGAGACCCACAGAGACCCACAGAGACCCCGACTCACAGAGACCCACAGAGACCCCGACTCACAGAGACTCACAGAGACACACAGAGACCCACAGAGACCCCGACTCACAGAGACTCACAGAGACCCACAGAGACCCACAGAGACCCCGACTCACAGAGACCCACAGAGACCCCGACTCACAGAGACTCACAGAGACCCACAGAGACCCACAGAGACCTTGACTCACAGAGACTCACAGAAACCCACAGAGACCCACAGAGACCCCGACTCACAGAGACCCACAGAGACCCCGACTCACGGAGACCCACAGAGACTCACAGAGACTCACAGAGACCCACAGAGACCCACAGAGACACCCGACTCACAGAGACCCACAGAGACCTTTACTCACAAAGACTCACAGAGACTCACAGAGACCCCGACTCACAAAGACTCACAGAGACTCACAGAGACTCACAGAGACCCACAGAGACCCCGACTCACAAAGACTCACAGAGACTCACAGAGACCCCGACTCACAAAGACTCACAGAGACTCACAGAGACCCCGACTCACAAAGACTCACAGAGACTCACAGAGACCCACAGAGACCCGCACCAGCAGCGAGCTGAGCCACCGTGCGCTCCGCAAGGCGTGAGTGGAGCTGACCCACACCGCCGCTCGCTGTCGCCCCTTGCAGGGTCTTCCTGGACCCCAGGGACCCATTGGGCCTCCGGGAGAAAGGGTAACGGAGCGCACCTCACTCTCACAGCCCGTGTCAGGGCGGCACGCATGACCATGGTGGCGGTGGTGCTGGTGGTGCTGGCGGTGGTGTTTGCTGGTGGTGTTGCTGGTGGTTGTGTTGGCGGTGGTGCTGTTGGTGGCGGTGGTGTTGGTGTTGCTGGTGGTGGTGTTGCTGGTGGTGGTGTTGGTGTTGGTAGTGGTGTTGCTGGTGGTGGTGTTGCTGGTGGTGGTGTTGGTGTTGGTAGTGGTGGTGCTGGTGGTGCTGGTGGTGGCGGTGGTGTTGGTGTTGCTGGTGGTGGTGTTGCTGGTGTTAGTGGTGGTGTTGGTGGTGGTGTTGCTGGTGGTGGTGTTGCTGGTGGTGGTGTTGTTGGTAGTGGTGTTGTTGGTGTTGCTGGTGGTGGTGTTGGCGGTGTTGGTGGTGGTGTTGCCGCTGCTGGTGGTGGTGTTGTTGGTGGTGCTGTTGTTGGTGGTGTTGCTGGTGTTGTTGCCGCTGTTGGTGGTGGTGTTGTTGGTGGTGGTAGTGGTGTTGCTGGTGGTATGCCGATGATCTGGTAATTGCCGCTCACTCAGAGGAGGAGTTGGAGGCGCTGCTGCTGAACCTGGAGCTTGCCACCAAGAGGTCGGGCCTTACTATCGGACACTCCATCTCCACACCTCCCAATTGGTGATAGGGCAGTTGTGGAGAGAGTGGAGAGTTTCCCATACCTGGGCAGTGTGCTCATGACCGGCTCCAGTTTAACAGCAGAGGTCTCACTCCGAATCAGTCGAGCGACAATATCTTTTCATCGGTTGCGTAACGCTGTGTGGAAGCTACCTGGTCTGTCGCTCCGCACTAAGCTTCAGGTCTTCTCGGCCACGGTCATTCCCTCCCTTCTCTATGCTTGCGAAACGTGGACCCATATTCTTGGTTCTTTCGGTAAAGTCACGTAGAAGGGAAACAATAAAATAATAAAAATATAAAACAACAAATAATAAAAATATAAAACACGACGTTTTGACTGCAACACAAGCAATCATCATCTTGCTGTGGTTTTCACACCTGATGATGATTGCTTGTGTTGCAGTCGAAACGCCGTGAGAATTTTATTGTTTTATATTTTTATTATTTTATTGTTTCCCTTCTACGTGACTTTACCGAAAGAACCAATAATATGAATCCCTGCAGTCACGAAAGCTTTAAATCAAAATTTAAACGTGGACCCCCCTAATGGAACATCTTTGCCGGTTAGAAACATTTAGGCTGGCCTGCCAACGATCCATCCTGGGTTTAACCAGGCTGGATTGTGTGAGGAGCTCACAAATCCTTGAAAGATCTGGACAAAGTCCCATTGGTGAGCTCCTCCGGCAGGCAAGGCTGCGTTGGCTGGGTCATGTAGCCCGCATGCCCAGCCACCGCATGCATAAACAGCTTTTGTTTGGCCAGATAGAGGGCTAAATGGACACGGCACGGGCTAGAGAAGAGATGGAGTGATGTTGTACAGGAAGCACGGGCTAGAGAAGAGATGGAGTGATGTGGTACAGGAGGACGTGGAGCTGAGTGGACTTGCCGATGACCGGTACCAGCGGGGTCAAGATCGGCCTCTGTGGAGGAGGCTCGTGAAGGACGCTACTGGGCAGCTGGAGGCAGTCCCTGGCTCACGGCCAACACCGGTGATATCGATTCTCTGAACCGGTCGTGGGCCTCCCCTAGGTCGACTCAGCCTAAAATTAGTACCTGGTGTCGTGGTGTGTAGTAAACATCCACACTGGGGAGACAAAGGCGGCCGGGCGTGGTGCTGGCCACCCACCCCCTCGTGTGCCACAGCGCCCGGTAGCCTTCACAGACGTTGCTATTCGCTACTCACAGCACTTGCCCCTATAGTCTGTTAGAGGCTACACGGGGGATGAGGGATGCTTTGTCCTTGCTTGTTGTCATGGTAATTCATGCTCGTGGTGATGGTGTGACACGGTGGTGGTGGTTGGTGATGGCGGTGGTGACACAGTGGTGGTGGTGGTTGATGGTGGTGGCGGTGATGGTGGAGGTTGGTGGAGGTGGTGGTTGGCGGTAGCGGTGTTGGCGTTGTTGACACGGTGTTGGTGGTTGATGGTGGTGGCGGTGGTTGCGGTGGTGACACGGTGGTGGTAATAGTTGGTGGTGGTTGTGGTGGCGGTGGTGTTGACACGGTGGTGGTGGTGGAAGCGGTGGTTGTGGTGTTGACACGGTGGTGGTGGTCGCTGCGATAGCACGACAGCGTGAAGGAGATTGCGACGGTGGGGGATGATGGTGCAAATGATGGTCACGATGGTTTTGAGGTTGACGATGATGATCATGATGATTATTATGGTGATGATGATTATGGTGATCATGATGATGATGATCATGATGATCATCATTATGATTATGGTGATGATCATGATGATGATTGTGATGATGAAGATCGTGATGATGATCGTGATGATGATGATCATGATGATGGTCATGATGATCATGATGATGGTCGTGATGATGATGATCGTGATGATGATGATGATGATCGTGATGATGATGATCGTGATGATGATGTTCGTGATGATCGTGACCATGATGATGCTCGTGACCATGATGATGCTCGTGATGATCGTGACATGATGATGCTCGTGACCATGATGATGATCGTGATGATGGTGATGATGGTGATGCGTCTGCCCAGGGTCTCACAGGTAAACCCGGGCTTCCTGGTCCATCCGGAACCGACGGACCTCCGGTGAGGGTCACGACCCCCCCCCCTCCCCCCCCCACGCCACCGCACTCGAGTAAACTTTTTATTGTACCAGGCAAGGCCCCACTGAGTTATTTTTTCAGAAGCGGCCTGCCCATCACAAATAATCTCGGCGCAACTAAATGGCTTACATCACCGTCACCGTCACCGTCATCGTCACCGTCATCATCACCGTCATCGTCACCGTCATCGTCACCGTCACTGTCACCGTCACCGTCACCGTCATCGTCATCGTCACCGTTACCGTCACCGTCACCGTCACCGTTACCGTCACCGTCACCGTCACCGTTACCGTCACCGTCATCGTCACCGTCACCGTCACCGTCATCGTCACCGTCGCGTGGATATTTATAGTGGCCAAATACTCTAAATGTGTGTTTCTGCAGACTCGTAGAGACTCATAGGGCCGCAGAGACCCATAGAGACCCATAGAGACCCATACTCATAGAGACCCACAGAGACCCACACTCATAGAGACCCATAGAGACCCACACTAATAGAGACCCACAGAGACCCATACTCATAGAGACCCATAGAGACCCATACTCATAGAGACCCACAGAGACCCATACTCATAGAGACCCACAGAGACCCATACTCATAGAGACCCATAGAGACCCATACTCATAGAGACCCACAGAGACCCATACTCATAGAGACCCACAGAGACCCATACTCATAGAGACCCACAGAGACCCATACTCATAGAGACCCATAGAGACCCATACTCATAGAGACCCATATTCATAGAGACCCACAGAAACCCATATTCATAGAGACCCACAGAGACCCATACTGATAGAGACCCACACTCACAGAGTCCCACAGAGTCCCACAGAGTCCCACAGAGACCCACAGAGACCCACATTCACAGAGACCCACAGAGACTCACAGAGACCCACAGAGACCCACATTCACAGAGACCCACAGAGACCCACACTCACAGAGACCCACAGAGACCCACAGAGACCCATACTTACAGAGACCCACAGAGACCCATACTCATAGAGACCCACAGAGACCCACATTCACAGAGACCCACATTCACAGAGACCCACAGAGATCCACACCCACAGAGACCCACAGAGACGCACAGAGACCCACAGAGACCCACACTCACAGAGACCCACAGAGACCCACAGAGACCCATACTCACAGAGACCCACAGAGACCCACAGAGACCCACAGAGACCTACAGAGACCCACAGAGACCCACAGAGACCCACATTCACAGAGACCCACAGAGACCCACAGAGACCTACAGAGACCCACAGAGACCCACAGAGACCCACACTCACAGAGACCCACAGAGATCCACAGAGAACCATACTCATAGAGACCCATAGAGACCCATACTCATAGAGACCCATAGAGACCCATACTCATAGAGACCCATATTCATAGAGACCCACAGAAACCCATATTCATAGAGACCCACAGAGACCCATACTGATAGAGACCCACACTCACAGAGTCCCACAGAGTCCCACAGAGTCCCACAGAGACCCACAGAGACCCACATTCACAGAGACCCACAGAGACTCACAGAGACCCACAGAGACCCACATTCACAGAGACCCACAGAGACCCACAGAGACCCACAGAGACCCACACTCACAGAGACCCACAGAGACCCACAGAGACCCATACTTACAGAGACCCACAGAGACCCATACTCATAGAGACCCACAGAGACCCACATTCACAGAGACCCACATTCACAGAGACCCACAGAGATCCACACCCACAGAGACCCACAGAGACGCACAGAGACCCACAGAGACCCACACTCACAGAGACCCACAGAGACCCACAGAGACCCATACTCACAGAGACCCACAGAGACCCACAGAGACCCACAGAGACCTACAGAGACCCACAGAGACCCACAGAGACCCACATTCACAGAGACCCACAGAGACCCACAGAGACCTACAGAGACCCACAGAGACCCACAGAGACCCACACTCACAGAGACCCACAGAGACCCACAGAGACCCATACTCATAGAGACCCATAGAGACCCATACTCATAGAGACCCATAGAGACCCATACTCATAGAGACCCATATTCATAGAGACCCACAGAAACCCATATTCATAGAGACCCACAGAGACCCATACTGATAGAGACCCACACTCACAGAGTCCCACAGAGTCCCACAGAGTCCCACAGAGACCCACAGAGACCCACATTCACAGAGACCCACAGAGACTCACAGAGACCCACAGAGACCCACATTCACAGAGACCCACAGAGACCCACACTCACAGAGACCCACAGAGACCCACAGAGACCCATACTTACAGAGACCCACAGAGACCCATACTCATAGAGACCCACAGAGACCCACATTCACAGAGTCCCACAGAGACGCACAGAGACCCACAGAGACCCACACTCACAGAGACCCACAGAGACCCACAGAGACCCATACTCACAGAGACCCACAGAGACCCACAGAGACCCACAGAGACCTACAGAGACCCACAGAGACCCACAGAGACCCACATTCACAGAGACCCACAGAGACCCACAGAGACCCACAGAGACCCACAGAGACCTACAGAGACCCACAGAGACCCACAGAGACCCACAGAGACCCACAGAGACCCACAGAGACCTACAGAGACCCACAGAGACCCACAGAGACCCACATTCACAGAGACCCACAGAGACCCACAGAGACCCATACTCACAGAGACCTACAGAGACCCACAGAGACCCACAGAGACCCACATTCACAGAGACCCACAGAGACCCACAGAGACCCACATTCACAGAGACCCACACTCACAAAGACCCACAGACACCCACACTCACAGACACCCACACTCACAGACACCCACACCCACAGAGACCCACACTCACAGAGACCCACACTCACAGAGACCCACAGAGACACACAGAGACCCACACTCACAGAGACCCACAGAGACACACAGAGACCCATACTCACAGAGACCCACAGAGACCCACAGAGACCCACAGAGACCCACAGAGACCCACATTCACAGAGACCCATACTCACAGAGACCCACAGAGACCCACAGAGACCCACAGAGACCCACAGAGACCCACAGAGACCCACATTCACAGAGACCCACAGAGACCCACAGAGACCCACAGTTTCCCACAAAGACCCACACTCACAGAGACCCATACTCACAGAGACCCACAGAGACCCACAGAGACCCACACCCACAGAGACCCACATTCACAGAGACCCACAGAGTCCCACAAAGACCCACACTCACAGAGACCCACACTCACAGAGTCTCACAGAGACCCACAGAGACCCACATTCACATTCACCCACACTACAACACGCCCTCCATCGTGGCCGCTCTTTGATCAGACCCGTCACGTGTGGACTTGACGGCAACAGACAAACTCTCTTGAACGTTAGCACCGGGGGGGGGGGGGAGACAAAGGCGGCCGGGCGTGTGTGGTGCTGGACAACCCACACCCCCTCGTGTGCCACAGTGCCAGCCTTCATAAGCAGTGCTCGCTAACAGCACTTGCCCCTACAGCCTGTTAGAGGCTACAGGGGGGAGCTTTGTCCGTGTCTGTGTGTGAGGTGCTCGCTAACAGCACTTGTCCCTACAGCCTGTTAGAGGCTACACGGGGGAGCTTTGTCTGTGTCTGTGTGTGAGGTGCTCGCTAACAGCACTTGCCCCTACATCCTGTTAGAGGCTACACGGGGGACCTTTGTCTTTGTGCGCGCGTGTGCAGGGCCATCCTGGCAAGGAAGGACCTGCAGGTGACAAGGGAGAGATGGTACGAGCAGCCGTCACTCACCACGTCACTCACCACGACACTCACCACGTCACTCACCACGTCACTCACCACGTCACTCATCACGACGGTCACCACGTCACTCACCACGTCACTCACCACGTGATTCACCACGTCACTCACCACGTCACTCACCACGCTGCTCACCACGTCACTCACCACGTCACTCACCACGTCACTCACCACGACACTCACCACGTCACTCACCACGACGCTCACCACGTCACTCACCACGTCACTCACCACGTGATTCACCATGTCACTCACCATGTCACTCACCACGTCACTCACCACGTCACTCACCACGCTGCTCACCACGTCACTCACCACGTCACTCACCACGTCACTCACCACGACACTCACCACGTCACTCACCATGAAACTCACCACGTCACTCACCACGACGCTCACCACGTCACTCACCACGTCACTCACCACGTCACTCACCACGCTGCTCACCACGTCACTCACCACGTCACTCACCATGAAACTCACCACGTCACTCACCACGACGCTCACCACGTCACTCACCACGTCACTCACCACGTCACTCACCACGCTGCTCACCACGTCACTCACCATGACACTCACCACGTCACTCACCATGAAACTCACCACGTCACTCACCACGACGCTCACCACGTCACTCACCACGTCACTCACCACGTCACTCACCACGCTGCTCACCACGTCACTCACCACGTCACTCACCACGTGACTCACCACGTCACTCACCACGTCGCTCACAACGCCACTCACCACGTCACCACGTCACTCACCACGTGACTCACCACGTGACTCACCACGTCACTCACCACGTGACTCACCACGTCACTCACCACGTCACCACGTGACTCACCACGTCACTCACCATGTGACTCATCACGTCACTCACCACGTCACCACGTGACTCACCACATCACTCACCACGCTGCTCACCACCTCACTCACCACGTCACTCACCACATGACTCACCACGTCACTCACCACGTGACTCACCACGTCACTCACCACGTGACTCACCACGTGACTCACCACGTCACTCACCACATCACTCACCACGTGACTCACCACGTGACTCACCACGTGACTCACCACGTCACTCCACGTGACTCACCACGTGACTCACCACGTCACTCACCACGTCACTCACCACGTCACTCACCACGTGACCACGTGACTCACCACGTGACTCACCACGTGACTCACCACGTCACTCACCACGTCACTCACCACGTCACTCACCACGTCACCACGTGACTCACCACGTGACTCACCACGTCACCACATCACTCACCACGCCGCTCACCACGTGACTCACCACGTGACTCACCACGTCACTCACCACGTGACTCACCACGTGCCTGTTCCCTGTGCCCGTTCACAGGGAGTCCAGGGACCGCAGGGGAGCGTCGGGTATCCAGGATCACGCGGAGCCAAGGTACAGTGCCACGCACACCGCACCACACCGCACTACACTACACTATACAATACACTATACACTACACGTAAACATACTATACACTACACTATACATACACTAGTACACGACACTATACACGACACTATACACTATACACTACACTAGACACGACACTATACACTATACACGACACGACACGATAACTATACACGACACTATACACTACACTATACACTACACTATACACTACACTATACACTATACACTACACTATACACTACACTATACACTACACTACACTATACACTACACTATACACTACACTATACACTACACACTACACTATACACTACACTATACACTATACACTACACTATACACTACACTATACACTACACACTACACTACACTATACACTATACACTACACTATACACTATACACTACACTATACACTACACTATACACTACACTATACTATACACTACACTATACACTACACACTACACTATACTATACACTACACTATACACTACACTACACACTATACACTACACTATACACTACACTATACACTATACACTACACTATACACTACACACTACACTATACACTACACTATACACTACACTATACACTACACACTACACTATACACTATACACTACACTATACACTACACTACACTATACACTACACTATACACTATACACTACACTATACACTATACACTACACTATACACTACACTATACACTACACTACACACTACCACTATACACTACACTATACACTACACTATACACTACACACTAGCACTATACACTATACACTACACTATACACTATACACTACACTATTACACTACACTATACACTACACACTACACATACACTATACACTAACTATACACTATACACTACACATACACTACACTATACACTACACATACACTACACTATATACTACACTATACACTACACTAACACTACACTATACACTACACTATACACTATTACACATACACTATACACTACACTATACACTTACCACTATACACTACACTATACACTACACTATACACTATACACTACACTATACACTACACTATACACTACACTATACACTACACTATACACTACACTATACACTATACACTACACTACACTATACACTACACTATACACTACACTATACCTACACTATACACTACACTATCCACTATACACTACACTATACACTTACACTACACTATACACTACACTATACACTACACTATACACTACACTATACACTAACTCACTATACATACACTATACACTATACACTACACTATACTATACACTACACTTATACACTACACTATACACTACACTATACACTACACACTACACTATACACTACACACTACACTATACACTACACTATACACTACACACTACACTATACACTACACTATACACTACACTCTACACTATACACTACACTATACACTATACTATACACTACACTATATACTACACTATACACTACACTATACTATACACTACACTATACACTACACTACACTATACACTACACTATACACTATACTACACACTACACACTACACTATACACTACACTATACACTACACTATATACTACACTATACACTACACTAGACACTACCACTATACACTACACTATACTATACACTACACTATACACTACACTACACTATACACTACACTATACTATACACTACACTATACACTACACTATACTATACACTACACTATACACTACACTACACCACACTACACTATACACTACACTACACCACACTACACTATACACTACACTACACCACACTACACTATACACTACACTATACACTACACTACACCACACTATCACCACACTATCACCACACCACACCGCACTACACTACACTATACACTACACTATACACTACACTATACACTACACTATACACTATACTATACACTACACTATACACTACACTACACTATACACTACACTATACACTACACTATACACTATCACACTACACTATACACTACACTATACACTACACTATACACTACACTACACACTACACTTTACACTACACTATACACTACACTATACACTACACACTACACTATACACTATACACTACACTATACACTATACACTACACTATACACTACACACTACACTATACACTATACACTACACTATGCACTACACTATACACTACACTATACACTACACTATACACTACACTATATACTACACTATACACTACACTATACACTACACTATACACTATACACTACACTATACACTACACTATACACTACACTATACACTACACTATACACTACACTATACACTATACACTACACTATACACTACACTATACACTACACACTACACTATACACTACACTATACACTATACACTACCACGTATACACTACACTATACACTACACTACACTATACACTACACTAAACACTACACTATACACTACACTATACACTATACACTACACTATACACTACACTATACACTATACACTACACTATACACACTATACACTACACTATACACTACACGATACACTACACTATACACTACACTACACTATACACTACACTATACACTACACTATACACTATACACTACACTATACACTACACTATCCACTACACTATACACTACACTATACACTACACACTACACTATACACTACACACTACACTATACACTACACTATACACTACACACTACACTATACACTACACTATACACTACACTATACACTACACTATACTATTACACTACACTATATACTACCACTATACACTACACTATACACTACACTATACACTACACTATACTATACACTACACTATACACTACACTACACTATACACTACACTATACACTATACTACACACTACACACTACACTATACACTACACTATACACTACACTATATACTACACTATACACTACACTATACACTACACTATACACTACCACTATCACTACACTATACACTACACTATACACTACACTACACTATACACTATACTATACACTACACTATACACTACACTATACTATACACTACACTATACACTACACTACACCACACTACACTATACACTACACTACACCACACTACACTATACACTACACTACACCACACTACACTATACACTACACTATACACTACACTACACCACACTATCACCACACTATCACCACACCACACCGCACTACACTACACTATACACTACACTATACACTACACTATACACTATACACTACACTATACACTATACTATACACTACACTATACACTACACTATACACTACACTATACACTACACTATACACTATACTATACACTATACTATACACTACACTATACACTACACTACACTATACACTACACTATACACTACACTATACACTACACTATACACTATACACTACACTATACACTACACTATACACTACACTATACACTACACTATATACTACACTATACACTACACTATACACTACACTTACACTACACTATACACTACACTATACACTACACTATACACTACACTATACACTATACACTACACTATAACTACACACTATACACTACACACTACACTATACACTACACTATACACTATACACTACACTATACACTACACTACACTATACACTACACTATACACTACACTATACACTATACACTACACTATACACTACACTATACACTATACACTACACTATACACTACACTATACACTACACTATACACTACACTATACACTACACTATACACTACACTATACACTACACTATACACTACACTATACACTACACTATACACTATACACTACACTATACACTACACTATACACTACACACTACACTATACACTACACTATACACTACACTATACACTATACACTACACTATACACTATACACTACACTATATACTACACTATACACTACACTATACACTACACTATACACTACACTATACTATACACTACACTATACACTACACTACACTATACACTACACTATACACTATACTACACACTACACACTACACTATACACTACACTATACACTACACTATATACTACACTATACACTACACTATACACTACACTATACACTACACTATACTATACACTACACTATACACTACACTACACTATACACTACACTATACTATACACTACACTATACACTACACTATACTATACACTACACTATACACTACACTACACCACACTACACTATACACTACACTATACACTACACTATACACTACACTACACCACACTACACTATACACTACACTATACACTACACTACACCACACTATCACCACACTATCACCACACCACACCGCACTACACTACACTATACACTACACTATACACTACACTACACTATACTATACACTACACTATACACTACACTATACACTACACTATACACTACACTATACACTACACTATACACTATACTATACACTACACTATACACTACACTACACTATACACTACACTATACACTACACTATACACTATACACTACACTATACACTACACTATACACCACACTATACACTACACTACTATACACTACACTATACACTACACTATACACCACACTATACACTACACTACTATACACTACACTATACACTACACTATACACCACACTATACACTACACTATACACTACACACTACACTATACACTACACTATACACTACACTATACACCACACTATACACCACACTATACACTACACTATACACTACACTATACACTACACTATACACTATACACTACACACTACTATACACTACACTATACACTACACTATACACTACACTACATAACACTATACACTACACTATACACTACACTATACACTACACTATACACTACACTATACACTACACTACACTATACACTACACTACACCACACTACACCACACTACACCGCACTACACCACACTACACTACATCACACTATCACCACACTATCACCACACCACACCGCACTACGCTACAATATACACTACACTATACACTACACTATACACTACACTATACACTACTATACACCACACCGCACTACACTACACTATACACTACACTACTATACACTACACTATACACCACACTATACACTACACTATACACTACACACTACACTATACACTACACTATACACTACACTATACACTACACTATACACTACACTATACACTACACTATACACTACACTATACACCACACTATACACTACACTATACACTACACTATACACTACACTATGCACTACACTATACACTACACACTACACTATACACTACACTATACACTACACTATACACTACACTATACACTACACTACACTATACACTACACTACACCACACTACACCACACTACACTGCACTACACCACACTACACTACACCACACTATCACCACACTATCACCACACCACACCGCACTACGCTACAATATACACTACACTACACTATACACTACACTATACACTACACTACACTATACACTACTATACACCACACCGCACTACACTACACTATACACTACACTACACCACACTACACTACACCACACTACACCACACTACACCACACTATCACCACACTACACCACACTATACCACACTACACTACACTATACACTACACTATACCACACTACACCACACTACACCACACCACACTACACTACACCACACTATCACCACACTATCACCACACTATCACCACACTACACCACACACACTACACCACACTACACACACCACACCGCACTACACTACACTATACACTACACTACACCACACTACACTATACACCACACCACACTACACCACACTACACCACACTACACTACACCACACCACACTACACCACACTACACCACACCACACTACACTACACCACACTACACCACACCACACTACACTACACCACACTACACTACACCACACTACACTACACCACACTACACTACACCACACTACACCACGCTACACTACACCACACTACACACACCACACTACACCCACACTACACCACACTACACTACACCACACCGCCTACACTACACTACACCACACTACACTACACCACACCACACTACACCACACCACACTACACCACACTACACTACACCACCACACTACACCACACTACACCACACTACACCACACCACACTACACCACACTACACCACACCACACTACACTACACCACACTACACCACACTACCCACACTACACCACACCACACTACACCACACTACACCACCACACTACACCACACTACACCACACCACACTACACCACACCACACTACACTACACCACACTACACCACACTACACTACACCACACTACACCACACTACACCACACTACACCACACCCACTACACCACCTACACCACACTACACCACACTACACTACACCACACTACACACACTACACCCACTACACCACACTACACCACACCACACTACACCACACTAGACCACACTACACTACACCACACTACACTACACCACACTACACCACACTACACTACACCACACTACACCACACTACACTACACCACTACACCACACCACACTACCACACTACACACACTACCCACAATACACCACACCACACTACACCACACCACACTACACCACACTACACCACACCTACACCACACCACACTACACCACACCACACTACACCACACTACACCACACCACACTACACCACACTACACCACACCACACTACACCACACCACACTACACTACACACACTACACCACACTACACCACACTACACCACACCACACTACACCACACTACACCACACCACACTACACCACACTACACCACACCACACTACACCACACCACACTACACTACACCACACTACACCACACTACACTACACCACACTACACCACACTACCCACACTACACCACACCCACTACACCACACTACACCACACTACACCACACTACCTACACCACACTACACCACACTACACTACACCACACTACACCACACTACACCACACCACACTACACCACACTAGACCACACTACACTACACCACACTACACTACACCACACTACACCACACTACAATACACCCACTACACCACACTACACTACACCACACTACACCACACCACACTACACCACACTACACCACACTACACCACAATACACCACACCACACTACACCACACCACACTACACCACACTACACCACACTACACCACACCACACTACACCACACCACACTACACCACACTACACCACACCACACTACACCACACTACACCACACCACACTACACCACACCAAACCACACTACACTACACTACACCACACCACACTACACCACACCACACTACTCCACAGCACACTACACCACACTACACCACACTACACTACACCCACTACACCACACCAACTACACAACACTACATCTCACCACACCACGCCACACCACACTACACCACACTACACCACACCACACTACACCACACCACACTACACCACACTACACTACACCACACTACACTACACCACACTACACCACACTACACCACACTACACCACACCACACTACACTACACCACACTACACTACACTGCACCACAGTCGTGTTGAGTGGTAGTGAGTGGTGGTGAGTGATGACGGTGAGTGACGGTGAGTGACGATGGTGAGTGACGGTGAGTGACGATGGTGAGTGATGGTGGTGAGTGACGGTGAGTGACGGTGAGTGACGGTGGTGAGTTGGCGGTGAGTGACGGTGAGTGACGGTGAGTGACGGTGAGTGACGGTGGTGAGTGGCGGTGAGTGACGGTGAGTGACGGTGGTGAGTGGCGGTGAGTGACGGTGAGTGACGGTGGTGAGTGACGGTGGTGAGTGACGGTGAGTGGCGGTGAGTGGCGGTGAGTGGTGATGAGTGACGGTGAGTGATGACGGTGAGTGCCGGTGAGTGACGGTGAGTGGTGGTGGTGAGTGACGGTGGTGAGTGACGGTGAGTGGTGGTGAGTGATGGTGAGTGTGACGGTGAGTGACGGTGGTGAGTGACGGTGAGTGACGGTGAGTGGTGATGAGTGACAGTGAGTGGTGGTGAGTGACGTGGTGATGACGGTGAGTGACGGTGGTGGTGGTGAGTGACGGTGAGTGACGGTGAGTGGTGGTGGTGAGTGACGGTGAGTGACGGTGGTGAGTGACGGTGAGTGGCGGTGAGTGGTGACGGTGAGTGACGGTGAGTGGTGGTGAGTGACGGTGGTGAGTGACGGTGAGTGACTGTGAGTGGTGGTGGTGACGGTGAGTGACTGTGAGTGACTGTGAGTGACGGTGGTGAGTGACGGTGGTGAGTGACTGTGAGTGGTGTTGAGTGACGGTGAGTGATTACGGTGAGTGGTGGTGAGTGACGGTGGTGAGTGACGGTGAGTGACGGTGAGTGACGGTGGTGAGTGACGGTGAGTGATGACGGTGAGTGACGGTGAGTGGTGGTGAGTGACGGTGAGTGGTGGTGGTGAGTGACGGTGAGTGACGGTGAGTGGTGGTGGTGGTGAGTGACGGTGAGTGACGGTGAGTGGTGGTGGTGGTGAGTGACGGTGAGTGACTGTGAGTGACGGTGGTGAGTGACGGTGAGTGGTGGTGGTGAGTGACGGTGGTGAGTGGTGGTGAGTGACGGTGGTGAGTGACGGTGAGTGAGTGACGGTGAGTGACGGTGAGTGGTGGTGAGTGACGGTGGTGAGTGACGGTGAGTGACGGTGGTGAGTGACGGTGAGTGACTGTGAGTGGCGGTGAGTGACGGTGAGTGACGGTGAGTGACGGTGGTGAGTGACTGTGAGTGACTGTGAGTGACGGTGGTGAGTGACTGTGAGTGACTGTGAGTGACGGTGAGTGGCGGTGAGTGGTGGTGAGTGGTGGTGAGTGACGGTGAGTGACGGTGAGTGGCGGTGAGTGACGGTGAGTGACGGTGGTGAGTGACGGTGATTGACGGTGAGTGGTGGTGAGTGACGGTGGTGAGTGACGGTGAGTGACGGTGGTGAGTGACGGTGAGTGACGGTGAGTGACTGTGAGTGGCGGTGAGTGACGGTGGTGAGTGACGGTGAGTGACGGTGAGTGACGGTGGTGAGTGACTGTGAGTGACTGTGAGTGACGGTGGTGAGTGACTGTGAGTGACTGTGAGTGACGGTGAGTGGCGGTGAGTGGTGGTGAGTGGTGGTGAGTGGTGGTGAGTGACGGTGAGTGAGGTGGTGACGGTGAGTGGCGTGATGACGGTGAGTGACGTGGTGAGTGACGGTGAGTGACGGTGAGTGTGTGGTGAGTGGCGGTGAGTGACGGTGAGTGGTGTGTGAGTGACGGTGAGTGACGGTGTGACGGTGAGTGGTGGTGGTGAGTGATGGTGAGTGACGTGAGTGGTGGAGTGACGGTGAGTGACGGTGAGTGACGATGTGAGTGACGATGGTGAGTGACGGTGAGTGACGGTGAGTGATGACGGTGAGTGACGTGAGTGACGGTGTGAGTGACGGTGAGTGACGGTGAGTGATGGTGAGTGACGGTGGTGAGTGACTGTGAGTGATGACGGTGAGTGATGGTGAGTGATGACGGTGAGTGACGGTGAGTGGTGGTGAGTGGTGGTGAGTGACGGTGGTGAGTGGTGGTGAGTGATGGTGAGTGACGATGGTGAGTGACGTGACCTCCTGCTGTCCCCCGCCCTAGGGAGCGGAGGGTGCCCGAGGACTCAAGGGCCACAAGGGTGAGAAGGTGAGGATCACTCCACGCCTCACCCCTCGCTCACCCCTCGCTCGCCCCTCGCTCACCCCTCACTCGCCCCCCACTCGCCCCTCGCTCACCCCTCGCTCACCCCTCGCTCACCCCTCGCTCACCCCTCGCTCACCCCTCGCTCACCCCTCGCTCGCTCGCCCCTCGCTCGCCCCTCGCTCGCCCCTCGCTCGCCCCTCGCTCACCCCTCGCTCGCCCCTCGCTACTCCCCCTCGCTCGCCCCTCGCTCACCCCTCGCTCCTCCTCGCCCCTTGCTCGCCCCTCGCTCACCCCTCGCTCCTCACCCCTCGCTCGCCCCTCGCTGATGGGGGGTGGGGGGGTACCGAGGGCGATGTGGTTCACAGTGGTGGTGGTGGTGGTAGTGATGATTGTGATGGTGATGGTTGTCTCTCTGTCCAGGGTGAGGATGGCGTCGCGGGTGCCAAGGGAGACTCTGGAACCAAAGGCGAGCAGGTTAGTACACGCAGACGTTGTGTGTGTAGGGTGTGTGTGTCTGTGTATGTATGTGTTAGTGTTAGTGTGTGTGTGTATGTGTGTATGTACATGTGTGTGTGTGTGTGTGTGTGATGTGTGTGTGTGGTGTGTGTCACTGTGTGTATGTGTGTGTGTGTGTGTGTGTCATTGTGTGTGTGTGTGTTAGTGTGTGTGGTGTGTGGTGTGTGTATGTGTCTGTGTGTGTGTGTGTGTGTGTGTGTGTGGTGTGTGTGTGTGTATGTGTGTGTGTGTGTCTGTGTGTGTGTGTGTGTACGTGTGTGTGTACGTGTGTGTGTACGGTGTGTGTACTTGTGTGTGTGTGTGTGGTGTGTGTATGTGTATGTGTGTCTGTGTGTATGTGTGTGTGTGTGGTGTGTGTGTGTATGTATGTGTGTGTATGTGTGTGTGTCTGTGTGTGTATGTGTGTGTGTCTGTGTGTGTACGTGTGTATGTGTACGTGTGTGTGTGTCTGTGTGTACGTACGTGTGTGTGTTTGTGTCTGTACGTGTGTGTGTGTCTGTGTGTGTGTACGTACGTACGTGTGTGTGTGTCTGTGTCTGTGTGTGTGTGTCTGTGTGTACGTACGTGTGTGTGTCTGTGTATGTGTACGTGTGTGTGTGTCTGTGTGTACGTGTGTGTGTGTGTCTGTGTACGTACGTGTGTGTGTGTGTGTCTGTGTATGTGTACGTGTGTGGTGTCTGTGTGTACGTACGTGTGTGTGTGTCTGTGTACGTACGTTGTGTGTGTGTGTGTCTGTGTGTGTACGTGTGTGTGTTTGTGTCTGTACGTGTGTGTGTGTCTGTGTGTGTGTACGTACGTACGTGTGTGTGTGTCTGTGTGTGTGTGTCTGTGTTACGTACGTGTGTGTGTGTGTCTGTGTATGTGTACGTGTGTGTGTCTGTGTGTACGTACGTGTGTGTGTGTCTGTGTGTACGTACGTGTGTGTGGTGTGTCTGTGTGTACGTACGTGTGTGTGTGTCTGTGTGTAACGTACGTGTGTGTGTGTCTGTGTGTACGTACGTGTGTATGTGTGTCTGTGTGTACGTACGTGTGTGTGTGTCTGTGTGTACGTACGTGGTGTGTGTCTGTGCGTGTGTACGTGTGTGTGTGTACGTGTGTGTGTGTGTCTGTGTGTACGTACGTGTGTGTGTTTATCTGTGTCTACGTGTGTGTGTCTGTGTGTACGTACGTGTGTGTGTCTGTGTGTGTGTCTGTGTGTACGTGTGTGTGTGTGTGTCTGTGTGTACGTACGTGTGTGTGTCTGTGTGTACGTACGTGTGTGTGTGTGTACGTGTGTGTGTGTGTGTGTCTGTGTGTGTCTCACTGTGTGTGTCTGTGTGTGCCGGACGGGCAACTCTGTCGTGGACAGTGCTGTGGGGGGAGGTCCAATTGTGATTGGCTCCTCCCCTCATGGCATATGTGTCCACCACAGGGGCTGAACGGGGGCTCTGGACGGGTGCGAGGGGCTGGTAACCCCTCCACCTTCAATTAATTACCACTAAACCGCGAATTAAGTATGTAACTAATAAGCTTGTGCCGGAGGCCCCGGGGGGCCAGGCGTCTATGACGTCTCCTGGCCAAACCCCAATTGGCGGAGCCAGGAGATTGAATATCTACCCTCGGGGCTCGTCCAGAAACAACGAAAAGCCACTACGGGTGGCCACGTGGAATGTTCGAACGCTCAATGCGGAGGAGAGGCTGCCACTCCTATGTCGGGAGCTGGACCGGTACCGCCTGGATCTATGTGGCATTCAGGAGGTCCGGTGGACCGGCTCTGGCTCCTGCCACCATGAGGGGTGGACAGTCCTCTACTCGGGGCAGCAGACTGCCAAACAACATGGTGTGGGTCTTCTTTTGAACAAAATAATGAAGGGGGCGGGGGAGCGTGGCGGTGAGGTGTGGGAAGCTGTAAGCCCCAGGCTACTTTGGGCTCGCCTTCCCATCAACCGGAGGCGAGGAGTGGTGGTCGTGGTTACTTATGCCCCCACCGAAGACGAACATCCGTGGAGGGATGCAGGCAAAGCCGATGAGTCAAGATGCTCTTATATAACCTCCTGTCACAGGTGGTGGCTAAAGTGGCCCCCTCGGGATAGAGTCATCTTGGTGGGTGACTTCAATGCCCGAGTTGGTCATGATGCTGGCACCTGGGCTGGAGTGATTGGAGGGCAGCTGCGAAACGTGGACCCCCCTAATGGAACATCTTCGCCGGTTAAAAACATTTAGGCTGGCCTGCCTACGATCCATCCTGGGTTTAACCAAACTGGATTGTGTGAGGAGCTCACAAATCCTTGAAAGATCTGGGCAAGGTCCCATCGGTGAGCTCCTCCGGCAGGCAAGGCTGCGATGGCTGGGTCATGTAGCACGCCATGCCCAGCCACCGCATGCCGAAACAGCTTTTGTTCGGCCGGATCGAGGCGGCTAAACGGGCGCGGCACGGGGCTAGAGAAGAGATGGAGTGATGTGGTACAGGAGGACGTGGAGCTGAGTGGACTTGCCGATGACTGGTACCAGCGGTGTCAGGATCGGCCTCTGTGGAGGAGGCTCGTGACGGACGCTACTGGGCAGTTGGAGGCAGTCGCCCTCCAACAACAATAGAGGGCGGAGGAGCGACGCTCCACAACAACGAGCGGAGCGCCGGGTGGCTTAAAGCACAGCAGGTTAGCACAGTAGGGGGCACAGGTGGTGCATCAGCCAGTCATCTCAGTCAGTCGACCCGTGGCACCTGGGTCTGCCCCGTGACCTCCTGCCAGCGGGCGTTCGACACTTCACGTGGCCTCAAGGTGCACATAGCCTGGCACAAGCGACGTGGTGACGTCACCGCCACTTAGTGGCGAATGGCGGTTGTTGTTGTCATCGGGAGCGGTGGTGCAGCGGTTAGCGTAGTAGTAGTCGTAGTAGTAGAAATAGTAGTAGTTGTAGTAGTCGTAGTAGTAGTAGTAGTCGTAGTAGTAGTCGTAGTAGTAGTAGTGGTAGTAGTCGTAGTAGTCGTAGTAGTAGTCCAAACATCCAGCAGCAGCAGGCATCGTCAGGGTCGGGATCGGGATCGAACCCACGACCTCCTGTATACCAGGCGAGGTAGTTAACATCTCATAGCCACCGTGATGATGATGAGAGAGAGACACACAGACCTCCTGTGTACCAGGCGAGGTAGTCAACATCTCATAGCCACCGTGATGATGATGAGAGAGAGACACAGACCTCCTGTAGACCAGGCGAGGTAGTCAACATCTCATAGCCACCGTGGCTATGAGATGTTTAGGGGTGCAGAGTGAAGGGGCCCCGGTCAAAGCGGCGAGCGTGGCGACCCCCCAATGTGACCCCCCCAATGTGACCCCCCCCGTGACTCCCCGTGACCCTACCCCCTCCCCGTGTGACCCCTCACCCTTAACCCCCCGTGACTCCCCGTGACCCTACCCCCCCCCCGTGTGACCCTTCACCCCTAACCCCCCCGTGACTCCCCGTGACCCTACCCCCCTCCCCGTGTGACCCCTCACCCTTAACCCCCCGTGACTCCCCGTGACCCTACCCCCCTCCCCGTGTGACCCTTCACCCCTAACCCCCCCGTGACTCCCCGTGACCCTACCCCCCTCCCCGTGTGACCCCTCACCCCTAACCCCCCCGTGCCGTCAGGGTGAGCTGGGAGCCGCGGGCCCCCGTGGTGAGGATGGTGCTGAGGGCCCCAAGGGCCGAGCGGGCCTGCCCGGGGACCCGGGCCCCATCGGCCTCACCGGCGAGAAGGTGAGCGGCCACGGGCCCCGTGGCATCATACCAGACGCCTAGCCCAGGTCTGAGAACCATCAGCATCATACCAGACGCCTAGCCTAGGCCTGAGAACCATCAGCATCATACCAGACGCCTAGCCCAGGCCTGAGAACCATCAGCATCATACCAGACGCCTAGCGCAGGTCTGAGAACCATCAGCATCATACCAGACGCCTAGCCCAGGCCTGAGAACCATCAGCATCATACCAGACGCATAGCCCAGGCCTGAGAACCATCACCATCATACCAGACGCCTAGCGCAGGTCTGAGAACCATCAGCATCATACCAGAGGCCTAGCACAGGCCTGAGAACCATCACCATCATACCAGACGCCTAGCCCAGGCCTGAGAACCATCAGCATCATACCAGACGCCTAGCCCAGGCCTGAGAACCATCAGCATCATACCAGACGCATAGCCCAGGCCTGAGAACCATCAGCATCATACCAGACGCCTAGCCTAGGCCTGAGAACCATCAGCATCATACCAGACGCCTAGCCCAGGCCTGAGAACCATCAGCATCATCCAGACGCATAGCCCAGGCCTGAGAACCATCACCATCATACCAGACGCCTAACACAGGCCTGAGAACCATCAGCATCATACCAGACGCCTAGCCTAGGCCTGAGAACCATCACCATCATACCAGACGCCTAGCGCAGGCCTGAGAACCATCAGCATCATACCAGACGCCTAGCCCAGGCCTGAGAACCATCAGCATCATACCAGAGGCCTAGCACAGGCCTGAGAACCATCAGCATCATACCAGACGCCTAGCGCAGGCCTGAGAACCATCAGCATCATACCAGACGCCTAGCCCAGGCCTGAGAACCATCAGCATCATACCAGACGCCTAGCCTAGGCCTGAGAACCATCACCATCATACCAGACGCCTAGCCTAGGCCTGAGAACCATCAGCATCATACCAGACGCCTAGCGCAGGCCTGAGAACCATCAGCATCATACCAGACGCCTAGCCTAGGCCTGAGAACCATCAGCATCATACCAGACGCCTAGCCTAGGCCTGAGAACCATCACCATCATACCAGACGCCTAGCGCAGGCCTGAGAACCATCAGCATCATACCAGACGCCTAGCCTAGGCCTGAGAACCATCACCATCATACCAGACGCCTAGCCTAGGCCTGAGAACCATCACCATCATACCAGACGCCTAGCGCAGGCCTGAGAACCATCACCATCATACCAGAAGCCTAACGCAGGCCTGAGAACCATCAGCATCATACCAGAAGCCTAACGCAGGCCTGAGAACCATCACCATCATACCAGACGCCTAGCCCAGGCCTGAGAACCATCAGCATCATACCAGACGCCTAGCGCAGGCCTGAGAACCATCACCATCATACCAGACGCCTAGCGCAGGCCTGAGAACCATCAGCATCATACCAGACGCCTAGCCCAGGCCTGAGAACCATCACCATCATACCAGACGCCTAGCGCAGGCCTGAGAACCATCAGCATCATACCAGACGCCTAGCCTAGGCCTGAGAACCATCAGCATCATACCAGACGCCTAGCCTAGGCCTGAGAACCATCAGCATCATACCAGACACCTAGCCCAGGCCTGAGAACCATCAGCATCATACCAGACGCCTAGCCTAGGCCTGAGAACCATCAGCATCATACCAGACGCCTAGCCTAGGCCTGAGAACCATCAGCATCATACCAGACGCCTAGCCCAGGCCTGAGAACCATCAGCATCATACCAGACGCCTAGCCTAGGCCTGAGAACCATCAGCATCATACCAGACGCCTAGCCCAGGCCTGAGAACCATCACCATCATACCAGACGCCTAGCGCAGGCCTGAGAACCATCAGCATCATACCAGACGCATAGCCTAGGCCTGAGAACCATCACCATCATACCAGACGCCTAGCCCAGGCCTGAGAACCATCAGCATCATACCAGACGCCTAGCCCAGGCCTGAGAACCATCAGCATCATACCAGAGGCCTAGCACAGGCCTGAGAACCATCACCATCATACCAGACGCCTAGCCCAGGCCTGAGAACCATCAGCATCATACCAGACGCCTAGCCCAGGCCTGAGAACCATCAGCATCATACCAGACGCCTAGCGCAGGCCTGAGAACCATCAGCATCATACCGACGCCTAGCCCAGGCCTGAGAACCATCAGCATCATACCAGACGCCTAGCCTAGGCCTGAGAACCATCACCATCATACCAGACGCCTAGCCTAGGCCTGAGAACCATCAGCATCATACCAGACGCCTAGCGCAGGCCTGAGAACCATCAGCATCATACCAGACGCCTAGCCTAGGCCTGAGAACCATCAGCATCATACCAGACGCCTAGCCTAGGCCTGAGAACCATCACCATCATACCAGACGCCTAGCGCAGGCCTGAGAACCATCAGCATCATACCAGACGCCTAGCCTAGGCCTGAGAACCATCACCATCATACCAGACGCCTAGCCTAGGCCTGAGAACCATCACCATCATACCAGACGCCTAGCGCAGGCCTGAGAACCATCACCATCATACCAGAAGCCTAACGCAGGCCTGAGAACCATCAGCATCATACCAGAAGCCTAACGCAGGCCTGAGAACATCCACATCATACCAGAAGCCTAGCAGGCCTGAGAACCATCACATCATACCAGACCGCCTACGCAGGCCTGAGAACCATCAGCATCATACCAGACGCCTAGCGCAGGCCTGAGAACCATCACCATCATACCAGACGCCTAGCCAAGGCCTGAGAACCATCAGCATCATACCAGACGCCTAGCGCAGGCCTGAGAACCATCACCATCATACCAGACGCCTAGCGCAGGCCTGAGAACCATCAGCATCATACCAGACGCCTAGCCTAGGCCTGAGAACCATCAGCATCATACCAGACGCCTAGCCGGCCTGAGAACCATCAGCATCATACCAGACGCCTAGCCTAGGCCTGAGAACCATCAGCATCATACCAGAACGCCTAGCCTAGGCCTAGAGAACCATCAGCATCATACCAGACGCCTAGCCCAGCCTGAGAACCATCAGCATCATACCAACGCCTAGCCTAGGCCTGAGAACCATCAGCATCATACCATACGCCTAGCCCAGGCCTGAGAACCAACACCATCATACCAGACGCCTAGCGCAGGCCTGAGAACCATCAGCATCATACCAGACGCCTAGCGCAGGCCTGAGAACCATCACCATCATACCAGACGCCTAGCGCAGGCCTGAGAACCATCAGCATCATACCAGACGCCTAGCCTAGGCCTGAGAACCATCATCATCATACCAGACGCCTAGCCTAGGCCTGAGAACCATCAGCATCATACCAGACACCTAGCCCAGCCTGAGAACCATCAGCATCATACCAGACGCCTAGCCTAGGCCTGAGAACATCAGCATCATACCAGACGCCTAGCCTAGGCCTGAGAACCATCAGCATCATACCAGACGCCTAGCCCAGGCCTGGAACCATCACCATCATACCAGACGCCTAGCGCAGGCCTGAGAACCATCAGCATCATACCAGACGCCTAGCCCAGGCCTGAGAACCATCAGCATCATACCAGACGTCTAACCTAGGCCTGAGACCATCAGCATCATACCAGATGCCTAGCCCAGTGCCACTCTCCAACAGCGCTTGACCCCGGCATTGTGTCACAGGCTACACGGGGACCTTTGTCTGTAGTGGCTAGCGAGGACGCGCTGCGAACCCGGCCACCACCCCTAGGTCGACTCAGCCTCAAATGGGCAGCTGGTGTAGCGGTGTGCGGCGTAGTGAACATCGCCGCTGGGGGAGAGACAAAGGCGGCCGGGGCGTGGTTGCTGGCCACCCACCCCTTTGTGTGTGGACACAGTGCCGGTAGCCTTCGTAGGCGCTGCTGAACGCTAGCAACACTTGCCCCTACAGCCTGTGACAGCCTACACGGGGTGGACCCTGTCTTGTGTGTGCATGTGCGCGTCCGTGTATTTTGGCCTCAAGGTGCACATGGCCTGGCACAAGCGTCGTGGAGACGTCACCGCCACTTGGTGGCGAATGGCGCTTGTTGTTGTTGTTGTTGCTGTTGCCTCTGTGTGAGTCTATGTGTCTCTAGCCTTCGTAGGCGCTGCTACTCGCTAGCAACACTTGCCCCTACAGCCTGTGACAGCCTACACGGGTGCGTGGGGTGGACCCTGTCTTGTGTGTGGCTGTGTATTTTTTGGTTAACCCCCGTGCCGTTTCGTGTGCCCCCCCAGGGAAAGTTGGGAGTGCCGGGGCTACCGGGATACCCCGGGCGGCAAGGCGTCAAGGTACCCGTCGCGAACTTTTCGCCGGCAAAAAAAATCGTGATTTTCGAAGCTTTCGCTGCCGCGGGAATCCACGGTCTTTGGCTCTCTGGGTAAAGTCCCGTTTAGGTGAAGGGCAGGAGTCGGTGGAGCCTAGGCCCACCGCCGGTTTTGCCAGTAGGCCAGAGAGTAAACACGGCACGCGAATCGGAGCATCCAACTGCTGTGACTGCGTTAGGCCACGCACAGCGCACGCGTTTTGAACGCGCACACAAACGTGGCTCCGATTGTGATGTACGCTGCGTTGTCTTTGAAACTGATTGGCCTACAACAGAGAGAGTTGCCTTCTTCATGGTCTGGTCTCGCTACCCAGTGTCTCGCTACCCAGTGTCTCACTAGCCAGTGTCTCACTACCCAGTGTCTCATTACCCAGTGTCTCATTACCCAGTCTCAACTACCCAGTGCCTCACTAGCAGTGTCTCACTACCCAGTGTCTCACTACCCAGTGTCTCGCTACCCAGTGTCTCACTACCCAGTGTCTCACTACCCAGTGTCTCACTACCCAGTCTCAACTACCCGGTGTCTCACTACCCAGTGTCTCACTGCCCAGTGTCTCACTACCCAGTGTCTCACTACCCAGTGTCTCACTACCCAGTCTCAACTACCCAGTGTCTCACTACCCAGTGTCTCACCACCCAGTGTCTCAACTACCCAGTGTCTCACTACCAGTGTCTCACTAGCAGTGTCTCACTACCCAGTGTCTCACTACCCAGTCTCAACTACCCAGTGTCTCACTACCCAGTGGTCCTCACTACCCAGTCTCAACTACCCAGTGTCTCACTACCCAGTGTCTCACCACCCAGTGTCTCAACTACCCCAGTGTCTAACTACCAGTGTCTCACTAGCAGTGTCTCACTACCCAGTGTCTCACTACCCAGTGTCTCATTACCCAGTGTCTCACTACCCAGTGTCTTACCACCCAGTGTCTCGCTAGCAGTGTCTCACTACCCAGTGTCTCGCTACCCAGTGTCTCACTACCAGTGTCTCACCACCCAGTGTCTCACCACCCAGGTCTCACTACCCAGTGTCTCACCACCCAGTGTCTCACCACCCAGTGTCTCACTACCAGTATCTCACTACCCAGTGTCTCACTACCCAGTGTCTCACTACCCAGTGTCTCACCACCCAGTGTCTCACTACCAGTGTCTCACTACCCAGTGTCCCACTACCAGTGTCTCACTACCCAGTGTCTCACTACCCAGTCTCACTACCCAGTGTCTCACTACCCAGTGTCTCACTACCCAGTGTCTCGCTACCAGTGTCTCACAACGAGTGTCTCACTACCCAGTGTCTCACTACCCAGTGTCTCACTACCCAGTGTCTCACTACCCAGTGTCTCACTACCCAGTGTCTCGCTACCCAGTGTCTCGCTACCCAGTGTCTCACTACCCAGTGCCTTACTACCCAGTGTCTCACCACCCAGTGTCTCACTACCCAGTGTCTCACTACCAGTGTCCCACTACCAGTGTCTCACTACCCAGTGTCTCACTACCCAGTCTCACTACCCAGTGTCTCACTACCCAGTGTCTCACTACCCAGTGTCTCACTACCCAGTGTCTCACAACGAGTGTCTCACTACCCAGTGTCTCACTACCCAGTGTCTCACTACCCAGTGTCTCACTACCAGTGTCTCACTACCAGTGTCGTCGCTACCCAGTGTCTCGCTACCCAGTGTCTCACTACCAGTGCCTTACTACCCAGTGTCTCACCACCCAGTGTCTCACCACCCAGTGTCTCACCACCCAGTGTCTCACTACCCAGTGTCTCAACTACCCAGTGTCTCACTACCCAGTGTCTCACTACCCAGTGTCTCACTACCCAGTGTCTCACTACCCAGTGTCTCACTAGCAGTGTCTCACTACCAGTGTCTCACTACCCAGTGTCTCACTACCCAGTGTCTCACTAGCAGTGTCTCACTACCCAGTGTCTCACTCCCCCAGTGTCTCACTACCCAGTGTCTCACTACCCAGTGTCTCACTAGCAGTGTCTCACTAGCAGTGTCTCACTACCCAGTGTCTCACTAGCAGTGTCTCACTACCCAGTGTCTCACTACCCAGTGTCTCACTACCCAGTGTCTCACTAGCAGTGTCTCACTACCCAGTGTCTCACTACCAGTGTCTCACCACCCAGTGTCTCACCACCCAGTGTCTCACTACCCAGTGTCTCACTACCAGTGTCTCACTACCCAGTGTCTCACTACCCAGTGTCTCACTAGCAGTGTCTGACTACCCAGTATCGCACTACCCAGTGTCTCACTAGCAGTGTCTCACTACCCAGTGTCTCACTACCCAGTGTCTCACTACCCAGTGTCTCACTAGCAGTGTCTCACTACCCCAGTGTCTCACTACCCAGTGTCTCACTACCCAGTGTCTCACTACCCAGTGTCTCACTAGCAGTGTCTCACTAGCAGTGTCTCACTACCAGTGTCTCACTAGCAGTGTCTCACTACCCAGTGTCTCACTACCCAGTGTCTCACTACCCAGTGTCTCAGTAGCAGTGTCTCACTACCCAGTGTCTCACTACCCAGTGTCTCACTACCCAGTGTCTCACTAGCCAGTGTCTCACTACCCAGTGTCTCGCTAGCAGTGTCTCACTACCCAGTGTCTCACTACCCAGTGTCGTCTCACTACCCAGTGTCTCACTACCAGTGTCTCACTACCCAGTGTCTCACTACCCAGTGTCTCACTACCCAGAGTCTCACCACCCAGTGTCTCGCTACCCAGAGTCTCACCACCCAGTGTCTCACTACCCAGAGTCTCGCTAGCAGTGTCTCACTACCCCAGTGTCTCGCTACCCAGTGTCTCGCTAGCAGTATCTCACTACCCAGTGTCTCACTACCAGTGTCTCACTACCCAGTGTCTCACTACCCAGTGTCTCACTACCCAGAGTCTCACCACCCAGTGTCTCGCTACCCAGAGTCTCACCACCCAGTGTCTCACTACCCAGTGTCTCACTACCCAGTGTCTCCCTACCCAGTGTCTCACTACCCAGTGTCTCAACTACCCAGTGTCTCACTACCCAGTGTCTCCCTACCCAGTGTCTCACTACCCAGAGTCTCACCACCCAGTGTCTCGCTACCCAGTGTCTCACTACCCAGTGTCTCAACTACCCAGTGTCTCACTACCCAGAGTCTCGCTAGCAGTGTCTCAACTACCCAGTGTCTCACTACCAGTGTCTCACTAATTCTGAGTGTGGTGCTGAGTGCTGAGTGTGGTGCTGAGTGTGGTGTGATGCTGAGTGTGGTGAGTGTGGTGCTGAGTGTGGTGGTGAGTGTGGTGAGTGTGGTGAGTGTGATGGTGAGTGTGGTGAGTGTGGTGAGTGTGTGGTGTGGTGGGTGTGGTGCTGAGTGTGGTGAGTGTGGTGCTGAGTGTGGTGGTGAGTGTGGTGAGTGTGGTGAGTGTGATGGTGAGTGTGGTGAGTGTGGTGAGTGTGGTGCTGAGTGTGTGAGTGTGGTGCTGAGTGTGTGAGTGTGGTGAGTGTGGTGAGTGTGGTGCTGAGTGTGTGAGTGTGGTGCTGAGTGTGGTGGTGAGTGTGGTGAGTGTGATGGTGAGTGTGGTGAGTGTGGTGTGGTGAGTGTGGTGAGTGTGGTGAGTGTGGTGCTGAGTGTGGTGTCTCTCACCGGTGTCTGCAGGGATCTACCGGCTTCCCTGGGTTCGCCGGGGCCAACGGAGACAAGGGGGCACGGGTAACCACAACGTGTACCACACACACCGTGTACCACACACACCACAACGTGTACCACACACACCACACACCGTGTACCACACACACTGTACCACACACTGTGTACCACACACTGTGTACCACACACTGTGTACCACACACCGTGTACCACACACACCGTGTACCACACACACCGTGTACCACACACAACGTGTACCACACACAACGTGTACCACACACACCACAACGTGTACCACACACACCACACACAACGTGTACCACACACACCACAACGTGTACCACACACACCACAACGTGTACCACACACACCACACACAACCGTGTACCACACACACCCACAACGTGTACCACACACACCACACACTGTGTACCACACACACTGTACCACACACTGTGTACCACACACTGTGTACCACACACCGTGTACCACACACACCGTGTACCACACACACCGTGTACCACACACACCGTGTACCACACACAACGTGTACCACACACAACGTGTACCACACACACCACAACGTGTACCACACACACCACACACCGTGTACCACACACACTGTACCACACACTGTGTACCACACACTGTGTACCACACACTGTGTACCACACACACCGTGTACCACACACACTGTGTACCACACACACCGTGTACCACACACAACGTGTACCACACACAACGTGTACCACACACACCACAACGTGTACCACACACACCACACACCGTGTACCACACACACTGTACCACACACTGTGTACCACACACTGTGTACCACACACACTGTGTACCACACACTGTGTACCACACACACCGTGTACCACACACAACGTGTACCACACACAACGTGTACCACACACTGTGTACCACACACACCGTGTACCACACACAACGTGTACCACACACTGTGTACCACACACTGTGTACCACACACACTGTGTACCACACACACCGTGTACCACACACAACGTGTACCACACACTGTGTACCACACACTGTGTACCACACACAACGTGTACCACACACAACGTGTACCACACACTGTGTACCACACACTGTGTACCACACTGTGTACCACACACAACGTGTACCACACACTGTGTACCACACACACCGTGTACCACACACAACGTGTACCACACACTGTGTACCACACACTGTGTACCACACTGTGTACCACACACTGTGTACCACACACAACGTGTACCACACACACTGTGTACCACACACAACGTGTACCACACACACCGTGTACCACACACACCGTGTACCACACACAACGTGTACCACACACTGTGTACCACACACACACACTGTGTACCACACACACCGTGTACCACACACACCGTGTACCACACACACCACAACGTGTACCACACACAACGTGTACCACACACAACGTGTACCACACACAACGTGTACCACACACACCGTGTACCACACACACCACAACGTGTACCACACACAACCGTGTACCACACACACACTGTGTACCACGCCGTGTACCACACACAACGTGTACCACACACTGTGTACCACACACAACGTGTACCACACACAACGTGTACCACACAACGTGTACCACACACACTGTGTACCACACACAACGTGTACCACACACAACGTGTACCACACACACCACAACGTGTACCACACTGTGTACCACACACAACGTGTACCACACACACCGTGTACCACACACAACGTGTACCACACACACCGTGTACCACACACAACGTGTACCACACACACACTGTGTACCACGCCGTGTACCACACACAACGTGTACCACACACACTGTGTACCACACACAACGTGTACCACACACACACTGTGTACCACGCCGTGTACCACACACAACGTGTACCACACACACTGTGTACCACACACAACGTGTACCACACACACCACAACGTGTACCACACACACTGTGTACCACACACACTGTGTACCACACCGTGTACCACACACTGTGTACCACACTGTGTACCACACTGTGTACCACACACACTGTGTACCACACACACTGTGTACCACACACACCGTGTACCACACACACTGTGTACCACACACAACGTGTACCACACACACACCACTGTGTACCACACTGTGTACCACATACACTGTGTACCACACACACCGTGTACCACACACACCGTGTACCACACACACTGTGTACCACACACAACGTGTACCACACACACTGTGTACCACACACAACGTGTACCACACTGTGTACCACACACAACGTGTACCACACTGTGTACCACACACTGTGTACCACACCGTGTACCACACACACACACACTGTGTACCACACCGTGTACCACACACTGTGTACCACACACTGTGTACCACACTGTGTACCACACACACCGTGTACCACACCGTGTACCACACACTGTGTACCACACACTGTGTACCACACTGTGTACCACACACACCGTGTACCACACCGTGTACCACACACTGTGTACCACACCGTGTACCACACACACACACACTGTGTACCACACCGTGTACCACACACTGTGTACCACACACTGTGTACCACACTGTGTACCACACACACCGTGTACCACACCGTGTACCACACACTGTGTACCACACCGTGTACCACACTGTGTACCACACTGTGTACCACACACACCGTGTACCACACACACCGTGTACCACACCGTGTACCACACTGTGTACCACACTGTGTACCACACACACCGTGTACCACACACACCGTGTACCACACCGTGTACCACACTGTGTACCACACTGTGTACCACACACACCGTGTACCACACTGTGTACCACACACACCGTGTACCACACACACCGTGTACCACACCGTGTACCACACTGTGTACCACACACACCGTGTACCACACTGTGTACCACACACACCGTGTACCACACACACCGTGTACCACACCGTGTACCACACTGTGTACCACACTGTGTACCACACACACCGTGTACCACACCGTGTACCACACCGTGTACCACAACGTGTACCACACACACCGTGTACCACACCGTGTACCACACCGTGTACCACACTGTGTACCACACACACCGTGTACCACACTGTGTACCACACACACCGTGTACCACACTGTGTACCACACACACCGTGTACCACACTGTGTACCACACACACCGTGTACCACACCGTGTACCACACACACCGTGTACCACACTGTGTACCACACTGTGTACCACACACACCACAACGTGTACCACACCGTGTACCACACACACCGTGTACCACACACACCGTGTACCACACCGTGTACCACACTGTGTACCACACTGTGTACCACACACACTGTGTACCACACACACCGTGTACCACAACGTGTACCACACCGTGTACCACACTGTGTACCACACACACCGTGTACCACAACGTGTACCACACACACCGTGTACCACACTGTGTACCACACTGTGTACCACACACACCACAACGTGTACCACACCGTGTACCACACACACCACAACGTCTACCACACCGTGTACCACACACACTGTGTACCACACACACTGTGTACCGAACACTGTGTACCACACACTGTGTACCACACACACCACACTGTGTATCACACACTGTGTACCACACACTGTGTACCACACACTGTGTATCACACACTGTGTGCCACACACTGTGTATCACACACACCACACTGTGTACCACACACTGTGTACTGCACACACCACTGTGTATCACACACTGTGTACCACACCACTGTGTACCACACACTGTGTACCACACACTGTGTACCACACACACCACACACTGTGTACCACACACACACACTGTGTACCACACACCGTGTACCACACACCGTGTACCACACACTGTGTACCACACACACACACACTGTGTACCACACACTGTGTACCACACACTGTGTACCACACACTGTGTACTGCACACACCACTGTGTACCACACACTGTGTACTACACACACCACTGTGTACCACACACTGTGTGTACCACACACTGTGTATCACACTGTGTACCACACACACCACACTGTGTGTACCACACACTGTGTACCACACACTGTGTACCACACACTGTGTGTACCACACACACACACTGTGTATCACACACACCACACTGTGTACCACACACTGTGTACTGCACACACCACTGTGTACCACACACTGTGTACCACACACACCACACACTGTGTACCACACACACACACTGTGTACCACACACACACACACTGTGTACCACACACACACACTGTGTACCACACTGTGTACCACACACACCACACACTGTGTACCACACACACACTGTGTACCACACACACACTGTGTACCACACACTGTGTACCACACACACTGTGTACCACACACACTGTGTACCACACACACCACACACTGTGTACCACACACACACACTGTGTACCACACACACACCACTGTGTATCACACACTGTGTATCACACACTGTGTACCACACACACCACTGTGTACCACACACTGTGTACCACACACACACACTGTGTACCACAAACTGTGTACCACACACTGTGTACCACACACACACACTGTGTACCACACACACACATTGTGTACCACACACACACTGTGTACCACACACTGTGTACCACACACACTGTGTACCACACACTGTGTACCACACACCACACACTGTGTACCACACACTGTGTGCCACACACACTGTACCACACACACACTGTGTACCACACACACACACTGTACCACACACTGTGTACCACACACACACTGTGTACCACACACACCACACACTGTGTACCACACACACTGTGTACCACACCCCACTG